AGTACATTAGAAATGGCTTGACCCTAAACATAAATGGTGATAAACATGGATAGCGTATTTATCCTGCACAATACACCCACATATATACATATTTTCATAAACTTCATTTTGAATACGCGTTTTTTAGCAGAATGATTTTTTTTCAAAAAGTGATTTCCCCAGATTCGGGACTTATAAAAGTAGTATTTTCTTTCTTAAAACATGTCTTAAATTAAATATCAATTACTCGGTCAGAGATACTCACGTTTTAGCATAGGTCGTCAAACTAGATTTTTCACAATATTTACACATGTGCTGAGTACAAAAATAGACTACATGAAAAGCTAGCTTTTGCGGTGTAGACACAGATTCGTAAATGGCCAACAATGTAGTCTTAGGCCAATTTCGATTTTATTTTTAAATGTGGAGCCCACATAGTCCGATTCATCATGTATATGCCAAATTTAGAGCTGATTATATTTTTTAACCTTTGATACATGTAATATTACAGGGTTATTCATTGTACAAAAATATCATCCGTGACCATCGTACGCTACTGTACACGTCTACCAAAGAGGCTGCAATTAGCAAAAACAACTGGATTGGAACTGAAGATATTAATATCTGCAATAAAGATTTAACACGTGAACATTAAACGGACTGCATGATTGCCAGACATCGTATACATGCTGTGCAGATGTGCCCCAATATGGATTCAAAAGTGTCCAGCAAAGCCATTTTATCACATAATGTTTTTTTAGATACACTGGGAATACTTGGTATCTAATCAAAAACTCAAAAGATTTCTTGATGGAGAACTCCCCTCTAGTTGAGGCCATAGCTCCCTCACATATACTCCCCACTTAGTCACGTTTTTAATTGGTTGGTGCATTTTGCAACAGTTCATGGGGCCCGCTTTCTGGGTATTGAACCTCGTATTAGTATGTCCTGGAATCAGAACTTTACCATTAACATAATCATACGAAGAGGTGTATACTGACATATGACCTATGGCAAAATCCTAGCTTAGACATTTGTGACACACGTGCACTGCTGATGGTCTGTAGGAAATATATGTTGCACTTTCTACCAATAGTCACTAAGGAGATATTGCAACAGTCATATACTTATTCATTCGGAAGTTAACTCTTTATTTATGGGAGAAGCAGAGTCCAAAGCTTCTTGAAGCAGTACTTGTTGTTGTTCCTCGGAGGGAAAATACATTTCAGACTATTGCCAACACAGACATTAGATAAGACTAAATATTAGTTCACATTATTTTAGGAAATTTAAATGGTGTTTATCCTGCATCTCAACTGACTGTTTTGTGTTCGTTTTTCCTAAAATGTTATATACTCGTATATAACGATGGAAATATTGCAACATCAAGCAAGCATTTTTCTGGAATATTTTCAGTACTTTGATTCATTCTGTAAACATAATCAGTTCTTCAGTATTTTCATTAATTTAATGACAAGCTACGTAAGATATATTTAATTCATGGCTATAAAGATAAGTTAATATTCGTTGTACGTATTATTGACTAATGGTTTATCATACTTCCAGGTTTCTCCACACTAGCCCGATGTACACATATCCCTATATATAAAGGTAACCGCTTTCACAACATTTGACATCATCTACTTTAACTATAATAAATATATATCGACCAAACACATTGTCATAAAACATAACTTCATAACGCTAACATATACATAATTTTTAAAGTCAAATATTTAATTCGGATACTATTGATGTAAAATGGAGAATTTAATTCATCGGTGTTTCGTCTACGTTGACTATTTAATTTGTTCAAAAAGCTTAATAACATTCTGAAATAAGCATAATCTTATATTTTATATAACCAAGAAGTACACATGTAATACACATATCAAATTAAAAGCCTTTTTCACAGTATTTCGCATTTTCTACATAACAGTGTTCAATTCTAGATCATAAATGACGGTAATGTCTTCTCTTTTGTTTTCACCAAATCCTGTAATCAGAAGCTTATCAGGTTAAAGTTTAAAAACTCTATTATTTTTGCCTGCCCACAGCTTGTACGGCGTTATCTTATTTTATTTCCAAGAAATTGCTGCAGCCTATGGTGGCACCTCACAAGCATCTTGTCACTCTCATCACAAAAGTAAGTTAATTCTTTTATTGCATATTTTGTATGATGAATTCCACACATTTTATGATACTTTAAGAAATATTTTTCATATTACATTTGCTTACTCCTTTTATCAAGAATGACTTTTTTCGGTTTCAAATATTCATAGTTTATATTTTTTATACCCCACAGATAATATTTAACTTTTAACTAAGCTTCAACAAGCAAAAGCAAATGGAACAAAACAGAAACGTGAACCGAAAGAACTTTCGGGCACATTTCACTAAATAACAATAAATATCATCCTTTTTTTTTTTTTTTTTTTTTGAAGTATTACATTTATATAACGAATAGCACATGCGTTTCACATAACACGCTTATGGTGAATCAGATGAGTGTTTCGATTATAACATTTAAGGTAATGAGCAGGCTTTAATGTCTCTACGGTGTAGATACTCGCTCTAGTACTCGCTCTATTGTTATTCGCACAAACACAGTATCATTGGTCAACGATGCAGTCAGTGTTCATTCTGCCTCCTTTTTATCCCAAGGGTTTGTTGTTTCTAAATATTTATTCCAAACATATTATATATTGTTTTATATGTCCTGATGAAGGAGCCGGTCGTTCCGAAAAAATACAACCTTATAGTTTCTACACTGCAAGAATTACTTCCTTGCCCCATATACCAATTTTAAGTTATTCTTATCCTACAAACGTTTGTGAGGATAAAGGGTTATATGCTATACCGCTAATATCATTTCTCTGACTCATATGTTGTAAGTAAGTTAAAGCTGTGTTGTAATTGCTATAAACATATGTTGTTTTTACCATAAACATGCAGTTATATTCGAATCGTATGATGATATTATTGTTAATACGATATACCTATGTTGTATTCAAGATATATTTATGTGGTTAATACAATATACCTATGTTGTTTTTAAGATATATCTATGTGGTAAATACGATATAGCAATTTTGTAATTGGGACATGGCTATGCTATAGGTGCTATAAATCCGATCGAGTAAGTTTTGGTAAATATAATATAGTCATGTTTTAATGACGATTAAGCTTTGTTGTAATATCGCTTTTACGACATACTACATCTGATTGCCCTAAAATGACGTTATAAATCCAATATACAATGTAGCTATGTTGTATATGCAATATACTTATGTTATTGACGTGAAGGTAAAGAATTTTCACCAAATAATTTTATGATGCTAAATCGTTTGTACGACACACAAAATATAAAAATATATAAATGACATTATCCGGTTTCTTCTGTAGACAAAGGTATTTCAAAAAAGCTTTTCTCAAAATCTTCTCTTCTCTTATCGATTTCGGTGATGAAGGAGTTAATATTTCATTTATAACCAATACTGACTATATATTATTTATATATTCTGTTCTTTTTATATTTTAACATGCATATGGTACAATTAACACTGTTCATGTAGAGATGAATGTATATTTATGTTACTGTTTTATGGCTAGTTAAAATACACTTATAGCGAGGATAAATTACACCTGGTATACAATGTAGTAGTGTATTGCAAAATACATAAGATTAAAACATAAGTTGTGAAATGAATGAAACTATTTTTTGGCAGTATGGAGTTCGCTCAATAGCCTCATGAATACAGATGTATCGTGTCTTTATGATGTCGTCCGGAAAATTGCAAGTAAGTAAAGTGATGCAGTTTTATTTATAAATGGAATATATTCAATAAATAACTGAATGACAAATCATTTCAAATACAGTCACAGTAGTGGAATACGCAACATCATGTCATTTGTTATTTCAATGATGTATAAAACAGCATTTCTATTACATGTAATAATTATAATGAATATGGCCCAGAATCAGAGATGAAGAGGCGCTATGGTAAATACTGTGTCCGATCCCCATCCACACTTTGTTTCTTATAATCAAAAATCACATATTTTCTGAAATGTGACTTGGTGATACACTGTTATACGTAGATGCGCAATAGGCGTAACAAGTTTGAAGGACAAGGTAACTGCTACATGTACATAAAAAGACTATGGGGGTACGGTCCTTATCTAGCAATCGAAACGTTTTATTTATTCTGACATGGTAATAAGTTGCGATATTTAGACATGCAATAGGGGTTTAAATCTTTGTTAGGTCAATGTCGCTGTTAATAACATTAGAACGGTAAGGCAAGTGTCGGGTTCCTTGCTGACCTGTCTGTGCCAATTTAAGATAATTTACAGTTGTTTAGGGCCGGATATAGTTTAAATCAATTGATTTCATAATACTTAAAATGCAATAATATGATTAAACTTCACAAACAGATACCTGTGATTGTCAGCATTGACAATCTAGAAAAATTAGTTTGTTTTTTGTTTATCATAACATCAGCTCCCGTTTGCTGAAACTCTAATGTACTTAATTACTAGTAAATGGTAATTTTCAAAAGCTTTTTTTTTTAGAATTAACCAATAAATCAGTAAATGTATTTGAGTTAGTCAATGTAGAGTATTCTGGATCAATATGCATGTAGATTTTATTATTAAATGATGTTCTGTTTTAGAATAAACTATATAACATACGTTATCTCGTCGTTAAGCTTACCAGGCATTCAACGATTCGTCCACGTGTAGAGACACAGTATTAGAAGGAATATTATCACAAAGTTTATGTTTCATTCAAATCATTGTACCAAAAAACTGCTGTTACTCTACATGCAAGCGGCAGTGATGTTTTTTCTTTACATGTATGTATACTATTGGAGTGTAACGCTACTTGAACCAACGCATTGCTTCTGGTCTTATTGACCGAATCATTTGTACATAGCAGAAAAGACCAATATCATGTCGGTTAATTTAACATACAAGTATCTGATAATTATATCACTTACATTTTGTCTCCATCTGGGCAGCAAGCAGCAGTCGTAATGGATGTTCATGCCATGCAGGTAAGATATATTAGAAACATATAACATTAAGTATAATGAATGTGAAATAAAAAATAAGCATCGATTAAAGAACCGAGGAACATTTAAGATAATATTTCCTTTGAATGATTTATGAAATGAGTGCGCAGTCATCAAATGGTTGCAGTAGTATTCATACACTGTAAAACCCCGGGGGCAGTTTTATACTTTTCAATGACACTACTTATAGAAATGATATAGCATTGCAACGCTAAATGCAACACTAAATGAAAATACAAAAATGTATTGAGTTTCATAAAAAAAAACAATTTTAAATGGCTTGATGTGATTTCATGTCTTTTATTTTTGACATAATCAAAGATGTCAATTATATATATCCGATATTGATAATCATATGCGTATAAGTTTATACACGCTTTTGATTGAATGAACTGCTGATAGAAAATGTGATAGAATTCATATTAGAATATTGTAACAAATGCATAGAAATTTCATATGTATACGTAAACATTAGTTTTGTCGTTTTTTCTTCAGAACATGCTACAACTATCACGGCGGCACCCGTCACTCAGTCACACTCCAGCCAATGTCACGAGTACTCAGGACACCAGGGTAAGTGGTACCCTGCTCCAAACCTGTATCAAAGTCTATAAATATTCACTAACAATGTAAATTAGGAAAGCGCCTATTTTTCTTTCTTTCTCAAGGATGACATGAATAGCACAAACCTTATGATTACTCATGTAGTCATGTTTATGGTTGTATAACTCAGAAGTGGTATTATAGATAACAAAATGAAGTTCAGGTCTTAGTAAGTTCTGATTAGTACGTAGATATAGCAAAAGAGAATATCTGCGATACCGTTCAACTAAAATAGATATAACGAATTCCTTTATTTTGCATCCAAACAATTGTATGTCTTATTCAAAATAGTATTTTCTTAAATAGTTTATGTGTCTTTGAAAAGGTGTTATTTTACAATCTAAGGTACAAGTTTCTGGCTAATTAACTAAAGATTACTTTTTTTTCGTTTAACAGAATTGATGAAAATCATATCAGCAGACAAGTGTGTTAGTTACACGAAAGGTTAGTGCATATTAATTCAAAAGTTGTAATCATTAATGTTATTATACATCACATTGATAGTGATGCATTGTATATGTTTAGAAGTGAATGTATAGTATACAATGGGCATGTATCCTTAAAGATTAGCTTCAGCAAATACATGGAGGATTGGTCTAGTTTGGTTTAGAATTGTTTAACGTTATATCAAGAACTATGGTCATTTAAGGACGGCCTCACCTGTGTGCAAGATGCATGCGTATAGTGTATGCGTGTGTATTTTGGGAGGCTGCGATATGTTCGTGTCTGTCTCCATGTGATAGCGCAGAACTGATGCCGAAACTACCCTTTTTACAGACTCTGGTATGTTGGCCAGGGGACAGAACCCAAAGCCTTCCTCACATGGGCAAACACTCAACTAAATGCCAAAAATAAGGCATTTTCAAGGGAGACATTAGGAAGATGAAAATTGTTTAGAAAGAAGAGAAAAGATAAGATCCCAAAAATCATTACGATCATGTAATGGGGCGGCAGGTACAACAATTCTTACGCCCTATCAGCAGGGACTCGCATGGAGGAGCACACACCAAAATAGGAGATAACTGCCGCTCATATCACTGATATCAGTAGGTTATATTATTAAAGGAGATAATTAAAACCCATGTAGCATACTTTAATTGTGTAAGCTAACATATTTCCTTAAGGTGTAAAACTTTAGTACATGTCGCATGCAACAGGAAAATATTAACATACGAAGTTAATGTTACAACTACTATACATAACAAGATTATGATGTGTTAGGACACGTATTTCGAGAAGAAATACAACTCTTAATCAATATCACGTACATGTACATCATGTGAAAGATAGCACACAATGCAGCTATTCACTTCACTTACTTTGTTCTTGGTTTCGTTTAGTTCAATTAAATGACCCCAAAGCAAGATACGGGTTACGTTCATAAAGTCATAAATACAACCACTTTCATCTAGTGTTGATATTATAACAGATACAATTACATAATTATTTGAATTTAATTAAACTTACTTTAGATAAAAAAGGTTGCTGACTTTATTTTTTTTTCTTTAGTTTGTTGACTGTTGATTATGTTTAGTGATGCCTCACTGACATTATATGATTATCGATACACACACAACATATCTTAGGAGTTTAATATTTCGATTAAATGTTTATGGGGACCGATTAATAATAAAAATTACCGTTCACATGGTTACAAATTATTGATCTGAACATTGTGCCGTAATTTATCATGATAATTATAATGAATAATTCTTGGTGCACAGATCTTTGTTCTTTAGATGTATACACCTCCGCCACTGGTCTCAATCATGCATTCGGGGAAATAATTGGCCAGTTGTAACCTTTGCAGGTCGTAAGAGGCGGCTTTCATAATTAAAACGGGCCCCCTATGGCAAGCCAAGTTAACATTTATTCAAGGAGCAATGTCGATCCTGTATTTCCAAAAAAAATATAAGATATCTTATATAGCATATGAGATATCTTATATACGATATAAGATATCTCATATACTACATAAGATATCTCATATAGTATATAAGATATCCCATATATTATATAAGATATCCCATATATTATATAAGATATCTCATATAGTATATGATATATCTTATATAGTATATGAGATATCTTATATAGAAAATCAAATGAGATATCTTATATGCGATATAAGATATCTTATATAGTATATAAGATATCTTATATCATATATAAGATATCTCATTTAATTTTCTATATGAGATATCTTATATCGTATATAGGATATCTTATATCGTATATAAGATATCTCATATGCTATATAAGATATCTTATATGATATATAAGATATCTTATATCGTATATAAGATATCTCATTTCATTTTCTATATGAGATATCTTATATAATATATAAGATATCTCATATAGCTATTTAAGATATCTTATATTATTAAAGTCTCGTTACTAAATAAGATATCTGAAGTCTCCCCGTCCGGAATATCTCGAGGATCTACGTAGGGACAGTAGGCTTGTTGTAACAACACGTGTTCCTGTCGCCGCCATTATGTCTGAGCCCACTTCAAGAGTGCGGGAAATGGCAGCCTCTGCTTTGGCCGCTATAAGAGAGACAAGGCGAGCTAGGCCTAGGGAAAATACAGCATCCGTACCATCACTCTCCGCCATTGCGCCCAATGCAATCCTGAATGTGCTCCGAATGATTCTCGAGGGAGAAATTAGTTTCTGGTTTTTCTGGTTTTTAATGCCACGAACTCTCATTCTATATCAGTATCTTATATAGTAACGAGATTTCAATTATATAAGATATCTTATATAGCTAATTGAGATATCTTATATATTATATGAGATATCTTATATAGAAAATCAAATGAGATATCTTATATGCGATATAAGATATCTTATATAGTATATATGATATCTTATATACTTATATAAGATATCTCATTTAATTTCTATATGAGATATCTCATATAGGATATAAGATGTCTTACATATTATATAAGATATCTCATATAGTATTTAAGATATCTTATATCGTATATAAGATATCTTATATAATAAATAACAGCTTCGAGGTCTGATGAGCGTAGCCGCTGTACAACCGTTGTTTAACATATTTTTGTTTCAATTTATATCTACTGTCAGTTTTAAGATAATCAATGCTTGTTAAACATGCTAGTAATATAAAATACATGATTAAAAATTTGCATAGTGGTAAATTAATGTTGTTTTTATGACGGTGTTCTGCATTTTTACGTGAAAAAAAGAAATTTTCTCTTAATTTCAAATAATAAAAGTGGATCTAATAGAATGTAAATATAGGGTTTGAAATGCATCTTTTTAACATTTGTGTGGGTATGCAACACAGTTCCGTTCAAACATATTCCATGATGCGCGCATCTTGGAGAATAGATGCATTTCAAACCTTAAATATTAACATGTGCTCTGCATCCCCCCATTGCAATGACTTGGGAAGGCAAATGTTGTTATAAGCTAAAGCAACATTTGCTATTGTAACGTCATCAGTCTCTATTGTAAAGTCAATTGTTGTCAATACTTAATTTGCTGTTCAAAAATAGTTCGAAATAACTTAATGAAGCATTACTACTAAATACTATCAAAATGTCAATATAAGTAATGAATATTTTAGCAAATATTTGTTATGGTCCTATAACAACATTTGCTAAAACATTCATAGCGGAAATAAAATCACTGTCTATAAACTATAACAACTAAAGATAATCATCATTTGTTACCACTTTTATAAACCAACGAAATCTTAATACAAGTATCGATTTGCACAAATAATATTTTCGGTTGGATTCGTCATTTCGTATTCGACCTGATTTCTTTTGTTGTTAGAACAAAACAAAAAATTGCTCAGCTAGTTATTGACAAATTCATTCATTTCCTGATATTCCTTACAAAGAAGTTCCTCCATGTCTCTGACAATGAAATATCAATAACAACATTAGGACACAAACTATTTGTATGTTTCAAGAGAAATCGAGACGGTCCGATTTGATGTCTGCCCTTTTATTTTACAGTATGGGGTCCATTGCAAGTTCTTGGATCCCAAAGGCACGACTGCCTCGTGCAAGCTATAAACCATTTAGCAGGTAAGCAGACATTGTTATCTTACTACTGAGAATATTTCATTCTGCCAGTCTTATAGAATAAAACATTATATTGATATAAAATGATGGACGCATTACACTCTTCTTACAATTCCCTTTTAAGGAGATGTGATATATTGATTTGGCTTTTTGTTGCTATCAAAACGTTCTCAAACCATCTCAAGGTAGAATGTAATTTTGAAAACTAATTAGAAATATTGAATTGCTCATGTGCATCGTACTAATTTAAACTTAATAATATGTTATGCAGACTGCTGATCTAAAAAAAAAACAAGAAAACATAAAAAGAAGATATGGAAAATAGGAAGGGTTTCTTTGTTTGTCCTTTTTTATTTATAAAAATTTTGTATGTCGTCTCATTGCAGCATCGTACAACCATTTTGACAACAGGACATGCTCTTGTTCCCATAGCGGTAGTGATGATTTGGTATTTCAAAACTTCCATGGAGGTATGTTCATGCTAGTAGTATATGTATAGGCGCAGTCGTAACTGTTTATCAATTAATTAGACGGCGGATTTAAAAAGCACCAACTCATTTATCTGTGCAGGTCGGCATGAACCCGATAGTTTAAACCAAAAGATTTGGCCACAGACTTATAAAAAACGGTTGCTATTCGTTTGATTGAAGAAGTAGATATTTGGGTCCCTTCATTTTCATTTTCACAGCAAATGTTGTCATTGTTATTATTTCCGCGGATCTCGACTGCTACTGGAACATATTCATTAGGGTTAAAATCAACGTTGATAGTAAGGATGCTGTCATAAACAACACTCTGTCAGTAGGAAAAAAATCACGTGGTTTTGGTATGTTTCGGTTGGTTTGCTTATTTTGCCTTTTCTTTCTAACCCGTTTTAGGCTAAAGTAAAACTCTGCAATATATGTATTCTATACTGATTTGGTTTATTTTCTAAACAATATTTAGTAAACAGTGCATCATATGTTTTTGCTGAACCAGGTAATAGGTAGTTGTGAAATACATATATACAGTAGCCACAGTTAAAGACAAAATATAAGAGAAGACATAAATCTATTAATGATATCAACTATTTTTACGGATATTACATTTTCAGTAAGTCGGTTATGAGATATCATTTAATATATCATTATACATTAATGCCTTTATCCACAGGCCATTATTCTGACTGTATGAACCACTTCCATACTACATATAAGGGTAAGTGTGTATCTGTTTACCCTGTTCTTATAGAAATGCTACATAAAATTGCAGACAATGACATCAATGTAGAAATGTGATAGTGAAAAATAACGATGTGTTTTTGTGTGTGTGTTTATTCTATGTAAGTTACATTAGTAGAACAGCCCAATGCATTTCAAATGTATTACGTCGTGAATATTAGAATCTGGTTCATTCAAACTTGTATGTATTTTATGGTGAATACGTTAATATTAAACAGTTTACATAAATATGTATAAAGGATTGTAAGTATAACAAAAATATTCAAATATTTTTCGTAAAATACTACCATAGGTTACACCTACCTATGTAGCATTTCTTATTCACAAATCGTGAATTTTATTATAGAAGTCCCTTTTATATATGTTTTGAGTTCGTAAAGGAACTCTTCGGAGTGCAAATCAAAAGCGATATACATGTACCAAAATAAAAATATAACTACTCTTTTATACAGCTATCATGACCAATGTGCTTGGAACCAACGTGGCATCCCGAGGGAGCCAAGGCTACTGCTGGACACACCAAACTTGTCAGTCACACATAATCACGTTAAACACTGTCCAGTTAATGTAACAAAGTATATTACGCATTTATCCTTTTAAGAAATAATCGACGTATGTGCGTGAATTATGGTGGATCATATAACAAGTGAAAGAAAACAACGATTTTTTTTTTATTATTAACGAAGGTTGCTTGCGGCCAGAGTTGATTACTCTCCATTTTTTCCGACACCTGGGTAATATTTGTCCATCATAATAAACAAGCAGTTGTTGATAATACCTTGTCCATCAAGTAAAATGTTATGAAGGTCATTTCGTGTCTGCCTTTGTGTCCATACGCCTGTGATAAGTGACCTCGATAATCTAAATATGAAATTTTTCCCTTATGTAAATATGTTACATGTAAAAGGCTGTATTTTTTTGCGCGCTTACAATTGTCATGTGATGCCTTCAGTTTACAACAATCTGCGCTTTTTTTTATTATTTCTGAACCAGTGGATAGTTGTCCTTCTTTTTTTAACCTGGATATATTTGGGAAGTTTTGTTTATTCAATTGCTACTTGGTCGTCAGAGTCAACAGAAACATGTGAGAATTGAGCTTAATTTGTTGTACCTCTTTGTTCCTAGTATGGTCACAACTGCGTTTGCTGGCTGGTACAAATACTCGGTCCTATTGCCTCACAGACCTTATCAACCATTTAGCTTGTAAGTCATACTTTTCTACAGACTGCGATGGTGACGTGTTTGGAGTAGTTTTTAAACTCTCTGTTTATTAAATACAGGTTAACCATGGTTCATGCATAAAACTGTAAACACTTGGTACCTTCATTAGAATGTATTGCAAATCTTAAATTCACCAGTAGAAAAAACAATAGTAAAACAGATAAAGGTTTAGTAAAATATGTTATATTTACATACATAAAGGTGGTAAATCGTTTGCAAGTTAAAGGGACATACTTACTTAGTTTATATAACGTATCCAATCACGTCTTAACAGTTAACTATTGAATCTCCTTTTTCTGCATATGACGTCTACAAAATTGATTATATTGTGACGTCATCGATACAAGATTTAAAGGGAATCAACACTTCTCATTTACAATGTAGCTGTTACTATCATTATGAAGAAAGATTTTGTTTTTTTATTTTTGTTGTGGTAACAAATAAATTGTTTCATTGTACTTAATATTGACCATTTCCAAAGAGAAATACGAAACTCCCTTTGGACTACCTCCAATAAGTGTTTTTTGATAAATTCCTTTGAAATTGTTTTAGCAATGATTGTATTTTATATCTAAACACCACAGTAAAAGCATGGCATCGGTGCATTTAGTTTATACGAGGTGTTAAAAACACTTTCCGAAACCGTAATATTTTTTCACTCAAAAATATCTGGAACAACCACACCAGTCAAAACAATTGTGTGTCTCACTTGCTGTGATGAAGTGAAAGTGATTTTAAATAAATACGCAATATCAACGAATACTATTTCTCTGAACTAATACCAGTTATAAGTTGATAACGTTGTTAAATCCTATATCTAATGATTCGAAACTAAGCTGTCATTCAATCTTCTGTCGCTTACTTAAACTAATGATTTGTATTTATCTGACACTTTGTCACTTTGTATTGTGTTATCTTCAGCTTTGTTGATGAAACTGAATTCGTCGTAATATGCATATCTACTGCACTTAATTTACTATATCTTATGTGTTTTAATTTACAAGTTGATCTAGATAGGAATACGTTATGTGCAAACAGTTATAGAAGTATTTACTATATTGTATGTTCTGTTTTGTTTGAAAAGTGTCTACTCAGAGACATACCGACACGTGCTCCTGTCATCCAGTATCTGGTAAGTTCAAACGGCGTAATCGTAACGTATGTCAATTGTGTTGTAACGATATATTTGATGCTTGAATTATTCAGTGTTATTATATTTCCCTCGTCTAGTGCAAGGAACGTTAACCTTCGGGCGCCTATACATTTGTTTTTGTTTTGTAATTCGTTACGTTTTTTGTTGTGAATCCCTTACCCTGTTGCTGTTTTCTTTTGTTAAAAGTTAATTGCCTATAACTAATTGATCTTTTTTGCTGTAGAAAACATACATGTTTAATTACCTGGAGCAGTCGGTTATTTGAACACCGAGGTTTGATAATGCTAAAAGGTAAATCAACTTTGAAAGACGTCGAACCATTTAAGTCAAATGTAGACGGTATCAACAAGTTTATATATATTTTTCTGGAGGTTATAATGTTGTCCTTTACTTTTACACTTTAAATCATTTAAACAAACACAAACAAAAATAAAAAATCTGAAATAAAGGGAATACAATATATCCATGTCGTAATACATATAGCCTATTACAAAACAATAAATCAAAACACAAACAAACGATCTTACAATACCATGAACACTAATGACAACAAAGCGAAGGAAAGTGATGTCACCTCAAGCAAACCAAAAAAGTCGATGTTCATGAAACCGTGCCCGTGCTCAGACTCAGGTAATCTGTTTTCTGTGATCTAACACATTTTTAATGGTCCGGTGAAATAACCATATTTGACGTTGACATTTCACATATTTTCAATGATATGAAAAGCGTTCTCCGTGTGAAAATGTGATGTTCTCCGTTTTTGACCTGGATTTACATGGCAGGTATCAACGATGAAGTAGAAGAAGATTACCTGCCGGAAAACCTGGTCTTATTTTCCTTGTACTATTTCAATGTGTCTGTGATTGTTTCTTTCGATCATATTTGCCCTAGGTTTATCAATTTCGAGAGTGAGTTTGACATTTCGGTAATATATTGCTATTTTTCGTATAATGACTGTATCTAACATTTTTTGAGTTTAGTTACTTCAACACCACATACCCAACATCCCGTTACTGTTCAGCCTACATCACATCCTGCCACTGCAAAGTCCCCAATCACAGGTATGTACATGTATCATAGATACAAGTGTCTTTTCTGTTATATATATATATTAAATGTTTTATAGGTGTAATGCATGTACTCACGTCAATAACTACCGTACAGTGATACAAGTACACATCAATGACATTAAAAGAAAGACTGCGTTTATCATGCACATGCGTATGCGATATATATCCGATCAAACTATCCATATCTAATGGCTTATGATACTTTTTATTCTATCAAATTTTAACATTTAACAATAAAATACAAATAACAAATGTCTTGTTAATATATGTACTTAAAGTTCAGCCATGCCAGAAGTTGGAAACCTTGATAGCCCTGGCCCATAATTCCTACCTCGTAGACAATGCTGTCCCGTGTCCTTCCGGTGGTCATTCAAAGGCCGAGGCGACTGTCGTGGACCTATGTCAAGCACCTGCATCTATTTCATGGCGAAAGGGTTATAATGTACGAAGTCCCATATGTCTATTATTGCAGGATAACATATTTAGATTTTGTTATTTGTTTTGTATGAATACATGTATCTGATCTTTTGCCCTGACTGTGATACGAATAATTTAAAAGTCAATTAACATGTTTGATTTTATCGTTGATAAAATACTTCAGTCACTTTTTGGAATATGATTCATTTGTTTTGCACAAATAATTAATGCTATGTTTGTGTTGAACACTGACAGCAATTGAAAACTTATTTTCGAAAACGTGTGTTTCCTTTGTCAAACAAAAAGTGCAAATGCCCGGTGTCTCTACTTTTAACCACTGAAAACAACTCACTAAGCCACAATGTGCCAATGAATCAGCAAATTCAGTTGTCAGAAAATGTAGAGACAATTCGTTGAATAGCACTCTAATACTACCGGCAGTCAGAGGGACTCGTGATATGTTTACGCGGCGAACAGTTAATGTAAACACTTTGTTCTACAGGTATTGCACCACTGTCATGATATACCACAGTACACAGCTGTAGCATCATTTGCTGGAAATCTCTACCATGGTGATGGCGTATCTGGAATTCTCATCTCGTGCAACACTACGTCACTGAGGGTAAACACTTGTCCTATTAAGTCCTGCTAAGAAAGCCAAAACTATGATATTAATGTGTTAAAACATGATGATTTATGTCTTAATTATTTAAGATAATAGACGGGTAAAAATATACATATTCTATTTGTAAAAAAACCTTTTCTTTGTTTTTGAAAAAAGGTTGTTGTAAGATATAATTGTTTATGAGTTTTTGAGTAATAAAGTAAACTTGGAACATATATAAACTAAATACAAGAACAGTCTAAATCACCGTTCCTGGACAGCACAACGATAGCTCTGCTTTGCCCATAGTTGGATGAAAACACTTTTAATATTATAACTTGGGAATAGTAATATCTTATGGTAAGTAATCAGGTAATGATTTATCCCTCATACTGTATAATATTTAATATTCATTATGTATAAGCAATCGTGGTTTCCGTGGTTGCTATAGAGAATAGGTGCAACAACTGTAATTGATATTATTGGTCCGTGTCGTTAAATTGGGTATCGACGAATTTCGTACAACGAAACTATCTACTTCTTTTGTAAATAGCTTCAAACCATGAAGTACCCACGAACAGTTAGTGGTATGCAGAATTGTTTGATTGGTGTTAGAATTGAAGAATTTTATGAGAGGATTAACATGACCTCTTACTTTAATATTCCAGATAGCGACCGAGCGGTGCGATCATCCCATAGAGGTTGTTACTGTCGTGACTGGGGCACGAGACCAGTATACACATATGGCAGATAACTATTACACGATACATTGGTGAATGTGAGAATAAAAACATAACTAATTGCAAGAATACGTTTGGCGTTTCTCCGTATGTTGTTTTCATGTGAAATGGGCATAACTCAATAGTATTATTGCAAAAACATAATAATAATAATAATAATAAAAAATATAATACTTTTTTTACCCAAACGTTAAGGTTTCATAATAACCCATTAAATAGTACTAACTTTGACCATTTAAATTCTACAATCTTTAAAGTATTATTATAAAAGTATCTAGTGAGACGAATAATGGTTTACATCGAAAACAAGTGTTTAATACTCTAACACATTGTAATAATGGTTTGAAAAATGAGTGGATGCATCACAAATAACTCAATAGAAATGACACACAAAATAAATTACATTACATTGTCCAAGAAAACACGTATAACAGATCTAGGCATCAAAATTGAATTAATATATTTAAACGTGTTGTGTTTATGTCCATTTTGTTCAAAAGTCCTCAAATCCTTTAAAGTTACATTTTACAGGACGGAAAATAGAAATATAAGCGATTATTTGCTCTTATAAAGGTTATTGGATTAATGGAGCCTAAAGTTCCATATGTTTAAGATGCCCTAGTTTGAAAATTGATAAGGAAACCCGTGTGGGGGATTGAATTAACTGATTTTCCCCCTCCCCCTCCCCCTCCCCCCCAGAATGATTGTCATTTAGGAGCATAGTACAAATGATCAATAACTTTTGACTTATTCAATTTTAAAACCTTTTACTGATTAGGTTTATAAATATTGTGTTAAATCCTGCTATCGACTGAATCGATGTTATAAAACATGAACAAATGACCGGTACCAAAGAGTATGTATCATTGCAATTGTAGTCTTATTTCTTTTATATGAGTTATTCCCCTTTCATGTTTTATGTGTGTGTGTGTGTGTGTGTGTGAGGGGGGGGTATTAGTCAGCGTGTGATATTTTGATGGTTTAACACGTGTTATATTACTACCAGGAAACCGGTTAGATAATGGGAGATATATGCATGTGACAATTGTCCTAATTCTAAACATGTTTTTACATACAAATGTATCCCGATTATCAATAAAATATGACTTGCTGTATTTATTTTACCAAGTACAATTTACATATTAATGTGAGGTTTCAAAAAAGGCCAAGGGGGCCTAAGTGTCAGAGGCTACTGTCATTGCAAGCTGTATTGAGAGCACCAAGCTATCTTTACTAACATCAATGAACCCATCATACTCGAATTTCCAGAATTTACGCTCACTTCCGCTATCAGTAGCCCGGCAATATGTCTTGACATTATTGCTGGCATGCAGTGTTTAGTTTGGTTGGTGTCAGGTAAATAAACATGACCATTACCTGTCCTTTGACGGTTACAGAGAAGCTACACCCAACTTTAAAGTGAGTCAATTGTATCATTATACTGCCCTGCGACTCATTCGATATTAATCAAAGGATATATCTAGACTACTTGTATCATCAATAAGGTAGCGCACACTCAATTTTGAACTTATCAGGACATATTCAAAGGAGTACAGAGAGAGCAAGGTTTCGTAAGCACAGGAGTGTTTAAGACGGCCATCCGTCTATTATTACCAAAGCTATCAACGGCATTGCACAAGTGAATGAAGAGTTGTAAGATACTAAGCTGTCAAAACTAAGTTCACAAAAACAATGCATTCATTATTACCCTGTGCTTAAATCTGAATATTTAATGGTAATAATTCACGTTGAAATATAAATAAAAAAAGTAAAATATGGTTAAAATATGGTTGGCCCGATAACACTGAAGAAGGATTCCTATCTTCACATTTTTCGTATTTCAAAAAAAATTAAAACGAGTAAAAAGCATGCAAACTGACATGCTTACTACATAAGACATAAGGCTTGTCATTTATGTACGGATAATTTATATGTTCTTCAGGGTGACATTTTCCCGATTAGTTTTAAAAGAAAATAGACACATAATTGCAACGCCGGAAACCGAGATTACCAGTTTCATGAATTGGTTTTTTCAATACGTTGGTCATTCGTTACCGCAACTATTAATATCCTTCCATTCTACCTGTGCACAAAACAAAAAATATTGTAAGCAAAGAAAGTCACTCTTTAAGATAAAAAACAACATGTGATCTTATCTCGTTTACCTAGTAAACCAAAGAGCCGTTGCCCATGCCGACCACCCGTACAGGCCATCGTTCCAAAAGAATTCGTCGTCGACACCTAAACGGGATGAATTGCCACCGGGCCACAATCGACTGTTGGGGTTGCAATTGGTGCAATCATTGAACCACCATCCTGCGCTGTGGACTGCTGCGCAATTTCCGATAGATTGATCATTGTCCTGGTCATAGGTGCTAAACGGTGCTCCGTTGGAGAGTGTCATGCTGCCATTCATAGAGAGAGTGATAATCTGGTCTAAAGGGACAATGTAAACGGAGGAATACGACATGGCGAATTTGTTAGACTCTTTTTGTACAACAAAGTTCTTGTACACAATATTTCCTACATCGGTATAATCTTGTCCAGCCACCTGAACGACAAGATTATACGATTTACTGTTCGTCAAATAGTACGCATTGTCGATCCCCCACCAAAAGTCTATATCGATTGATTTGTAGATATCGCCGAACCGATCCCTATACGACGTCCAGTTCCTGTTGAAGGATATACCGCTGACGTAATGGCGACTCTGTAGGTAGGTGCGCTTGTCGTACTCCATCCAGCACACCGTAGTGATAGGGGCTGGGGCGAGTGTAGGGTGGATGAGGAACGTGCCAAACTGTGCAACGTAGTATTGATAACCCTCAGTGCAGTCTAAAGGACAAACAAACTCAACGATAAAACACAAATTTTTCCAAATGTGAATTATTATACAAGTCTGTGCGATGTTTTAACCCTTTGCATCGAGCATATCTCAGAAATCTGAACATCTTTTTTTCAAATATCTTTAATCTCAACATGTGTTCATTATGATTTTTAAGAATGGAATGAAGTGTGATTTCATTTTTTCTATTCTTAAATTGCGACTTGCAACGATCCTTGTAACAAGCTTTTTGTCCATAAAAATGGTAAGACTCCGTCTTTGAATTTTTTTTTATGGTTGATGTTTATATTTATTCAGAATACCCGCTGATGGTAATCATCATGACGTAAGGTCATCAGGGAAAGGGAGACAAATAGTGAGTCCCGATTACAACAGTTTTGTGAACTAAACTTATCTTATGAAAAAAATAGAAATAGAATAAAACTTTGGATATATATTACTTTAAAATACCTTCCATAAGTCGTTCGCAGATGGCGCCTATATATCCGTCTACACATTGACAATTGTCGTTCACCAAAACACCTCAATTCAGGCACACTTTTGGCGCGGTGTTGTTCTAAAATACACACGTAAAATATGATGCAATAACTATAGATATACTCTGTAAATAGATACTCATGATATATTAAATATATTTCGTCCATTTATAACGCATTAGTGTTAATTAAACTATTACATCACATTCAGAACTGAATGAGGGAGTTCACTTCAAATTAGAAAATAGGTTACAAATGCTGAAAAATATTGTTTTGGAAGCAAGGGAGAATCATCCCCTTAACCAACGAGATAATATTATCAATAATAATAATTGGAGGTTCTTATATACCGCTTTATCACTACCTAGTTCGTAGGTCGTTTCAAAGAGGTTCACAAATTGTAATCCGTGGTTATAGAGCCTTTGCAACCAGCCAATATCTTTCTTAACTCCCAAGGGAGTATACAGCCGGTGCTGCCATTTCGGCGCTTACAGCTAGTATTCAACAATGTCAGCACTGCCAAACCACGTACTCATTTACAGCTGAGTAGACTTGAACAAGCGGAGTAAAGTATCTTGCTCAAAGATACAACTTAGTGTCGTGCCGTGACTCGAACCCGCAACCCTTCGGTCACGAGGCCGGCGTCCTACAACTAGATTACCGTGCCTGCATTATTAATTGTCTATTACTCGGCTTGAGGAAATCCTCGGCTTAGAAAATCAAGAATATCTCTCCTAAGATTGAGGTTTATCTAGCATGCCCTCAGGGTAATCTATAACTCTATAATACGTTAACTAATAAATCTATATAGATCTAATATTTTAGAGATCCGCATTATCTGCCCACATGGAGTAGCATATAATAATGGCTTAACATTATAACAGCTAACATCTAAAATTTGTTCTTTACATCAATAAATACTTTATTTCAATTTAAAAAAAGATATGTCAGAAAAAAATCTATTTTGATGTACATGTAGTTCTGTTGATTGGTATTGCGACCTCATACCCAAGTTACACAGCCAATCATGTCACATTGCATACAGCTACACAGCAAGAATGTATTACATGTACTCATATATATACAACGAGGTAGGTTTACAAATGCGTTTGGAAGATAAAGAACGTTCTGTAATAGAAAAATAATAGTCTTAAAGCTACCTAAATAGTAGAGTAGTGTTTATCTGTCCAAACCAGGGATCGAAGAAACGACTCCCGAACTGAAAAGGGCTCAGCATTTTCGCGCTACCCAAAGAGAAATTCTCTTAAGATAGAAGCTAGAAGGCTGCTGTGCTACGCAATTAAAAGCTATCATAATTCGGTCAGTCGTACAAGACACGGGATTTATTCATATCAAAATATTTACAATTGCCACTGTTTCTGATTCGATAACCTAAGTGTCAGCAAGTCTGTTTATTTCTCAATAACTAGAACGTGACCCAGTTTACCGCGTATGAATATATGTAAATATTGGCGGACTTCTTTCCGCAAACCTCATGTCATTGTTTACAAACAAACGCTAGCATTAAGACTACCGTACGTTCGAGACACCAAATTATGTCGGGTTCGAGACAAGACAGATCATGTTCATGACTGGTCATAAAAATAAGCTAGTGTCAGAAGCTAAAGTCGCGATTGTTCGTCGATACAAAAACGCTCCACCAGCTCCACTCTCTCATCTACGAGTGTCGGCCGCCATGACAGACACGATGGCTATCGTTCCTAGAAATGTTGGTCAAATTTCTCGTCTCCCAAATGTTACATCAACAGTCACTCGGCCGGCAAACGACTTATTCACATTATACAGTGTACATGTCATCTGTACAAACATCCGGTTTGCTTACATTCAACTTCCACCAGGCTTTTGCTAGTCACTATCGCTCGACGACATAGTAGCACTTTCTATTTCCCGCCTTTGAACGCATCACTTTTAAACGATGGACGTCCGTGGTCATTAGTATTTTCTACTAAGTATTTTGCCCCAGTACCTCAATTTCATACAAATATAAAATTAGTTATACCATTACCTTTTAATACAATTATGAAGATAGTGTATGAAGTAAAATATGGATATTTTATGTGAATAAAAATATTGAAGTGGAGGAACTTTTTTTCATTTGTGGTCACGGATAAAGTGGGCGGGGTTAAGCTTTCTGTCAACGGCTTTTGCAAATGTCTGTTTCGCACGGATTAACATCACGTCAAAATAATTTTGAACGTAGATTACACAAGGTAAATGCTTGTATCCGACTCTTTTAATGGCGTTATTATTAAAAGGAAATGTTGTAAATATAAGGATTAATCTTTTATTTTGTTTAGTTTATGAGATAATAAATCCAATGGAGCAGTCGAAAAATTGTTCGTAAACTCTTCGCGTTTACGCAATTTACCTCGTGCTCCATTGGATTTATTATCTCATAAACAAAACAAAATAAATGGTTAATCCTTAAATGGAACAACGAGAATTAAAAAAAAAAAAAAACGAGAATTTCCAAAAAAAAACCCGTAAGCACGCATTTTTTTAATTGATATCATGTACAACAAAATATCATCATACAGCTGCTGCCTCCTTTTCCGACCCATCGATGACGTAAAAGGTAAAAATCAAAATGTGTCTGAACTATTGATGAAACAGAGATGTTGTTGCATCGAAAAACCCTTGATTTAAGGAATTTCAAAATGATGAGGGTTGTGATTAAATTCAGAGTACGTAATGGGTAAAGTGTGTATATTATAGACCGGACCTCTACTCAAAAGGGACAGCTATAGTTATCAATATTATGGTAAACCTTGGGAACTCTTTGAATCGCTGTGCCGGGAGCTTTTATAATTCTACGGCGATTGTTATAGCGCCCAAGATTCTCTTGTTGCCAATATACAAATAGGGTTTATAAATGGTATGACCTTATGTCATATCTGTTAATTTGAAAGATTGAATGTTTGATGTTTTATATTAAGATAGACATGCTTTTAATGAGTGTAAAGCACGGTGGATGATATGAAAACTATCTGCCATACGAGTGAAATATACATGTTTACAATATTAAACGTAAATTAATAGCAAACTGATTACATATTGAAAAAGGAAAAAAGAAAAAGAGTCTCAAATGTCCTTTAGAAATTATGAAATATTTGATTTGACCTCACAAGTCGACAATTTATTATGTACAAACACATGACATTAATTGAATGTGATTTTAAATAATATGACAAGATGAATGGTTATGCGGCAAGTAAATAAAATAAAAGATAGAAACGCCGAATTGTTGAAGCATAAAGAAGAGAGTAAAAATATGCGGAAACTTTGTGTTTAAAAAAAAAAGACTACATGCCGTCATTATGTTTCCCGTATAACTACCATTTGCTATCTGGTAATATTGTCCGTGCATATTTTATTGTCCATTTGAACATACGGCGTCCAGTTCCCACCAGCTCATTTGACAGGTGCTTGGTACCAGGTAGTTGAACGATACACACAGGTGTTCTCTCTGACATTGCCTTGCACAGGAAATACCATCGTTTGCTTCAATGGTTTTGGAAATCAAATTGTCTCCTAACACAGTTGTAGGGCACTCGTCTCGCATTTTGTATGTTATCGTGCCGGCTATAGTAGCAGAGATAACATTTGTCACTATAAGCATGACCATAAACATCGCTATTACCGATATGTGCTTCAGTAATAAAGTGTTATTAGTAAATGAGTATAGCCGGAATGCGACCTTAGACATATGGCACCACAGCAAATCTGATCAGAAAATCGTTTCTATATCTTTTATAATGATGGAATATTGAATAGATAAAATGTTACACAGCGTTTCAACAGTTCAGAAACAACCGTAGTTTTTTTTTAAACAGGAAATAAATACATTTGCTCTGCATACTTCCATTGCAATGCACTGAAAAAGCAAATGTTGTTATGAGACTATAACAACAGTTGTTATTGTGACGTCATCAATTAAATGACTAAATAAAGCATATATATTAAAATGTAAATATAAGGAATGAATATTTTAGCAAATATTGTTATTGAAGACGAACTTACATAAAGCCCTACCTGGCTTTATTAAGTTTGTGATTAATAGCAATGTGTGTTATTTGACCATAACAACATTTGCTGAAGCATTCATTGCTTAAATAAGTACACACATAAACGTTCAAGAAATAAAATACGAACATTGACTGTAGAATAACTACCAATGTGTATAACTTATTCAACAATACTGTTTCTGTGGTATGATATTCAAACCCGAAACCTATTTCATTTCACATATGTTTAAGTTAAACATAGGTTTGGTTTGTTGATGTTTTGGTTTGGGTTGTTGTTCAAACACAAGAGCAATACTTATCTAACACGAAAGGTAGATACACCAGGGATGTATATGCCCCATTAGGAGGAAGTAAGCTTGAAGCAATATACCGGCTTAACCATTAACACAGGTGTGCATACTGCTATCACTTTACATAGTGGTATATACATTATAACAAAAGCGTACGGGCTATGAAGGTCCTTATTTTATTTGGTATACAACAAGTATACACATATAACTTCTACAACATAAACAGTTCAATATCATACACATGTAATATTATCGTTTATAAAGTCAGGTAGTATCACAAGCCAGGTGCACTGACGTTTCAACGGAAATAAATGCATTTGATTTTATGCAAACAGAGTCTTTATCATCTTCATCACGAGGGAAAAATAATCCGTTACATCAGGTATTTGTTTGCGGGTTTATAATTTTCATAATATTCAGGGGATGATGAATTCGTCAGAAACGAAAAGTGGCTAGTCGTTTTATCAAATATAGAAAAATACGAAAAAAACCCTAAATTTTGCACAGATTTGTATTGCGAGTAAATAACCTGATATACGATATTTGTTATATTTGTAAATAACAGAATATTAACATGTAAACTTACACTTGATCAGAATATCATACACAGCGTTACACAGGAAACATACATAAAGTACATGTTATGTTTCGTGAGGTATATATATATATTTACTTTTATATACTTGTTTTTAATACTTAACTTTGATTGGAGAAGCGACATCGTGCAAACAAGCATGTAATTTTGCTAAAGAACAAATTCTAAGAATAGCAAAAAGTGTAATATATCGTTACTAAAAACAAGTATTTCGAGTTACCACCTGTATTTTCTTTTCAACAATCTCTCGGCGAAATGAGTTGATTTAATGACATACAAGAGAACACCACCACGTTTCATTCTATGATTTGCGGATCCGGTCATTACACTATCTGGCTTCGATGAAAATTTCTCAGACAAGGCCACCAAATCGTGGACTGAGTCCCGACTGACATCATCTGAACCATAAAAGTCGACTGACCTGATCTTAACTCAATAATTGTTATTGAAATTAAAATGAGAGTTTGTAACAGATTAAAAAACACTTACATACAGAAATACATTTAATCAATGAGTATATAACTGGCCATAATATCAAGAGGCATTCTTTGTCTTCAGTCTAAATTTTATATTATTTATAATATTTATGAAATCTTTTCAATGCTCAAGATCATTCTTTTTTTAAGTCCATCTTATCCTCCTTTTACAAAGAAATCGCTTTCATAAACTTCCTCAAGTTTGAAAGACGGTTAGGCGTTTGGAGCGCAATACCATTTCTTTGACGCATAATTTTATTGAATTAATAGACAGTTCGTTCGCCTAGTGTTGTTCTTTACGCAAAGTTAAGCAATTAAAAAAACCGTTCGAAGAACGATCACGAAATTAAATATTAGCAAATTATTTATGATTCGCGAAAAATTTACGACATAAACGAAACATAACATGGTTCATAGTAAACCCTTACAATACGTGTACAGTTACAGCGAAACAGTGTATGCTTTACACCTTATACGAAACAGCGTATGTTTTATACAGCTCACTCCAAACGATACATCGTTCACAGTTATAACGTACCAATGCAGTCTAATTGATTTGTACATAACAGAATAATCGTAAAAATTCAATCTTGTATATATACACAAACACGACTTGGACATTCCTAACATTCATATTCCTCTATAAGTAGCTTACACGTCACCAAAGTAACTAAGCATGTAGAGAGATTCGTTACAAGTATATGTATTAATTTATAATAATAAGCACTTTTATTGTATGAACATAGACCAGATCGACGCTTTAAAGAACACAAGAACGATTAAATATAAAACAGACATAAAATAACATAGGAATCATTGACATATAATTATATCTTAACTCATAATTATAAATATAATATTTGAATATGCTTAGGCTTTCTAATTGACCAATAACATCATGTTTAACTCCATATGTGGAGCCCCAGTCTTTGAGTATTAAAATAATGGATACATTGTAACATTAAATAAGACGGTAATATATACAACATATCAATTGTTACGCCATCTAAAACGTCTTCTTTGTTCGTACACAGTTTCTTCATAAACTGCATTGTCCATAAATAGTTTCTCGATAGTCATTCGCATGTACGTGTCATGTCGTATCGATAATCATCCATATATGTTTGTCCGGAAATAAGGGAGACATATTTAAGCTTTCTCAAAGCTTAATATATATCTTGTTGAAAAACATTGAACAGAATCGTACTTTTTATTTATATTCTTGTGTCAGGGACAACCAATGACCCATTAGCCTCACTTTGATATTGCACTTAAAGGTGTGTGATCACCGGTGTCAAAAGTCCAAGTTCATCGATATTGAAATATATTCGCTAGCGTCATTCAAGGTTACACAAACACACTATGAGTACACTTTCCCTTTCTTTACATCTGTTCCGTGTGTCTATATTTGTATCCTATATTTATCAGGATCCTCGCACCATGGTCTCGTTCTGGTTACCTACGAGGTTATGTGCTTAACAAAACATCCACTGAAATGTTTGGTTTGATCTTTTGTAATCATATCATCATTTGTGTATATGGAATGTCGCCTTGTCCTCAGGAGATGATTTGTATCATTCACCTTTTGATACAGAGAGCATACAACGTGAACGTCTATATATCTGATCAACAAAGATTTGAAATTTAAACTAAATTTAAGTTAAGCTTACATCTTCTTGAACACGTATTGCACGAGAACAATGTGTTATGACTGAGGTAGGATATGATACAAAGACACGGTGTCCTCCACTGTTAATGCCAATGACGTAGTATGTCAAATATCAATGACAGCAGTTTCTAAGTAATATCAACTCCTTAAGAACAGAGATTCCGCAACAAATCGAACGACCAAAAGGCCATGTCGTTCGTTACAACAACGCCATGAGTTTAAAGTTTCTTGGAAACAAAAGATACAAAATCTCGTCATCTGTACAAAATCTCGCCATCTGTTTGATCATTTCACTGATTTCTAATCAGTTTACGTCTGTGTCCTCTTCGGACCTGTAAACACAGAGATCAAATTATTTTTGATAAAACAAAGCTACTCATATATAACCCATACAAATTAAATCTATTGATTTTACATTAGATATGATAAATTGTTAACACAAAAGGGTTAAGGGTACAACTAAAACGGCACGTGACTAGTCTAAATAACTACCCCATTACTAGATATATCTGATCATGCGATATAAAAACACTCTAGACAGATGTCAGAAATAATAAAGGAATTATAGTAACAAAGAGTTAGATTGTATACATCAGTCCGCGAAGCGGTTGATATCATAAATCAAAAATATTGTTTCGGTATATACCATATTACATTTTTTTTTACATCCACATAAAATGAATATCAATGGTAGTTCTGGTATACCATTTCACCACTTTAGTTATTCAGCTTCAGCATGTTAGCCTGAACATTTTTCATTTAACATGCCACTTTCAGAATCTCATGCGGTATTCATATTAATCCTCATTCACGTATTGTTATATTCTACATGTCATTATAATGCTGGTATTCGGACACTGTTTATATAACGCAGAAAACCTGCCTTTCATTTGAGTTACAATGAATCATTGTAGGAAAATGGTATTACGTGTTTCATATTGCAAATGTATATAATACAGAAAAGACATTTCAATGTTGTGTATATATGTATACGTACGCCTTAGTTACCAGAAAACTGCTGATAAATTAATGGTCGGGTTAAGAGAGATCTAATTTATTAATCATTTAGTTGATCTCAATCAAGTGGAGTATTTTATTTATCTTTAGATATATTATGATCCTTACTTTATTGTTATAACCCAATCATCGACAACTGATCATCTGTTAAGCTTCAGTCTATAGCTTAGCCTCCGTGTCACTTTAGGGTGGTTCTGTAGCTGTTGGTATCGTGCTGAGTATAACATGTACGTCCGGGCTGTGCACTGGGGACAACATGCGACACACATAAAAGGTAAGACAATACGCAGACATATCTGAACATACAGTAAAACCTCGCTAGAATGCCATCACGTGATCACAGAAGGTTTGTTTCAGTTGTTAATATAACGATGACAGTGATTTATAAGAGGAATTGGGGGAAACAATGTCCATCGATTCATTTTCGGTACAAAGTACAAACGAAAGGTTAACATGAAGCGAAAGGCGTTTTATCGAGGTATTACTTCACAAATAACTAATCGATCGATCCAATCGACCGATCAACATATCGTTATCATAATCATCGTATACAATTTACAAATATCATGCATTTACTGGAGTCTAACGTTAACATGTAACTAAATTATAAACATATACCATTCTGCAATGGATAAATAAAAAACTATGATGGCGGGAATTTATTAAAGATAAGTATAACATTATAAATACATGTATTTCTCTTATTTTTTTTTTTAAAGTAATAGACACTCTTGCAGTCAAATATATATGCAAGGCAGCCGATTTATCTTTGGCTGCTTTAAACGGGAACCGACCTCATAACGGTAACACATGTAATAACATACACCTTGTAAAATTTGGCATTTTGAAACAAATAACATGCACAACAAAGATATATACACATTTTCTGAGGACACGTTTTGTTATCAAAATTATGTATGATTGATCTTTATTTAATACATATCGCAATATCTCTCTACTGACATTTTTAGTGGTCTCTTAAAGTTCCAGCAATATTATTTGACAATTAACATTATGACCTGCTCCTTTATTGACAACAATAACATTACTACAAATAGAGATGTCAGTAATCTGTCAAATGATGTAGGCTGAGTAGTTGGAAAAATAAATAAAGAACAGATACACCTGCTTTTGAGAAATACTGACTATGATACGTAATTGTCGAGGACAATGTTATCTGGACACAGACGTGGTCGCTAAACCAAACGCAAGGTGAAATCTGGACAGGTACATTCTATTTCATGACGCAAGAATACAAGTGAAATAAAACGCCACATAAATAAACAGAAATAAGAGATTCTTTGTAAGGTAAATATCGTTATTATCGCAAAGTGTAAAGTCTCCTTAACATATGATGCATACTGATACCTTCACAATTAGCACGGTGACCAATAAATATATTTTTACCAATTAGCACGGTGACCAATAAATATATTTTTACCAATTAGCACGGTAACCAATAAATACATTTTTACCTATTAGCACGGTGACCCATTGCATTACTTCTAGAACTGGCACGTATACCAGTAAAGATATTTGTACAATTAGTACAAGAACAATAACTATAAATTAAGCGATTAATTTAATGACACAAACAAACATTATTTTGATTATCAATGTGACAATAGTGATACTTTCACAATAATTGCGGTAGCCTACAAGGATACAAAGATAAACACGGCAAATCATGGTACCTCTTTCCTAATGATCGCGCTGATTATCCTGATACTTTCAATATAAGCATGATGAATTATGGTGTTACTGTTACTAAATATTTCTTCCCTAAAATGATTAATAGAGTAAAACAATGTCTCTACCCTGAAATGATTCACAGAGCACAACAAGGTTTCTACCCCAAGATGATTCAAAGAGTAAAACAATGTTTCTACCCCAAGATGATTCAAAGAGTAAAACAATGTCTTTACCCTGAAATGATTCACAGAGTACAACAATGTTTCTAGCCTAAAATGATTCACAGAGTACAACAATGTTTCTACCCTAATATGATTAACAGAGTACAACAATGTTTCTACCCTAATATGATTAACAGAGTACAACAATGTTTCTACCCTAAAATGATTCACAGAGTACAACAATGTTTCTACCCTAAAATGATTCACAGAGTACAACAATGTTTCTACCCTAAAATGATTAACAGAGTACAACAATGTTTCTACCCTAAAATGATTCACAGAGTAAAACAATGTTTCTACCCTAATATGATTCACAGAGTACAACAATGTTTCTACCCCAAGATGATTCAAAGAGTAAAACAATGTTTCTACCCTAATATGATTAACAGAGTACAACAATGTTTCTACCCTAAAATGATTCACAGAGTAAAACAATGTTTCTACCCTAAAATGACTTACAGAGTAGAACAATGTTTCTTCCCGAAAATGATTTACAGAGTAAAACAATGTTTCTACCCTATCATTTTCTATCCTAAAATGATTCACAGAGTAAAAATACACGAAGGATTGACACGGTAATAGAACTGTAACGACGAGGAAAGCAATACATAGATTTCACAATAGTGAAGAAAAAAACCCCAGTGAGAACAAAATTCCGGTTGACGTGCATGCCATCATTTTTATATGTTATCCAATTCTATTCTATTTCCAACAAAAAGAACAAATATGTGTTTTAACTAAAATTTAAAAATAACGATAATAGAGCCTTAGATGACGAAGTGTTGTCAGACAATCTGTTAAGGAGTGGTTTACCTGACAGACGTGCCCGTTGGTCGTCCGGCGACACCGACACACGCTGGAGCTGGGACATCTCTGGCCCTCGGGACATTTCGGCCAGCACGAGGCTGAAACAAATATACATGTACTTTACATTGAAACAAGCTACTGCAAACCAAATGCAAATTGATTGGCTTTCCGCATCGATCTACTATGAACATAACTCACTGTGGATATAATCGTTGGTAGACACACAAGTTAATGAGAAATTTATAAGATAAAAATAACGATAAATTAGAGAATATTACCTATAACAGGCATTTATAAAAAAGGTTCAACAGCTAGTGTACAAAAGACAGCACTGATTTTCAGACTAAACACTGTATAAATGTTATGAATGATAAAAATATAAGCGGTTTATTTATTCAATTTTCATGAACTTTCGAACAGATATTGGCAATATTAAACGACATTTTGTCAGTCTAAACTCTTTTATTCACAATTGACATTTTTGAAACATTAGAACTTGTCTTTATAATGTAAGATACCATGATACTCATCATAGTATCTAATTATGTATTTCGTCTCAATAAAATACCCCGCTTATCTAAATGGTTCCTTAATAAAAAGGGCTGTAGTGTACCGTACATAATATATTACCATATTGACAGTTTGGTCCGTAATATCCCCTTCTGCATGTACATTTGTCATGTGTCCGGCAGTATCCTCGCCCATTACAGTTTCGTGTGCACTTCACTATATCAACATATGACGGTACAGACATTTTTGCTCTTGTTTTGACATTGAATTATAACTTCCGGTGATTTTAACTTTTTTTCACATTGAATTATTAACTTAAATGATTTTAACTTGTATCGACATTGAATTACTAATCTTAGGTGATTTAGCGTAACAAAATCAAAATGATGTATTGTTAATCGAAGATAGCATAATGTATCATTTCTGACTATAATACTGGGTACCCAGTAGGCCATTATATTCGTTTCGTTAACAATTATTGTAAGGGGTGTTAAAACCTAACGCCTACTAATGTTTGGTTGCTATTCTACTGTATCAAAGGCCATCAGTTTTGTTATTCCAAATATCATTACTGAATAGGACAATGAGCATATAACATTAACATTTTTTTTATAATAATAGATATTTGTATATTACATAAATTTCAAATCAGGAAGGAAGGTAACAGTAACTGTTTATATCTGAATCAAGAATAATGCTATAAGCAAAGGAATGGGAAACTATTAATTTGGTTTACATTGCTTCCCGTAGTATTTTATACATATACATATATTGAAAGATATTCACAGATAAATTAAAATTGAATTTCATTGCACAACAAAACGATAACATGTTCTCAGTGAATTTAGATGATGTTACGATGACTCCGTTTAATTCGTTAAATCTCGATTAATAAATTCTCTTGTTATTCTTAGATAATTCGCTCTGGTAAGGATGATTTATATATATAATTTAAAAGCCGAATCGGATTGATTATCCAAGCAATGACAATGTGCTAACACCATTATGTAACCTATAAGCTTTTGGCAATAGAAATGGTGTCCAAAGCAAATCCAGCTATGTAAAAGCAAGAGTTAAGCATTTGTTTGAATATTTTTTTGTATGGAAACCACTTGTAATTAACGGTCGAAAGAACCCTTTCACGGGCATTGAATACATATATTTAATACCAAACAACATAACATTTTGTTAGGACCATGAATGACACCAAACATTCGGAACATAAAACCGATAATAAGAGCAGTACATACAATATATGCTTACGTAATAATGTATAAAATCAATTGATTTAGCAAGTAATGCCAACTATCATAATACCAATACCTATATCAACAAATTAACTACCTATGTTTATATATCTGTTTCAGCAACAGTACTTATCAAGATAACATAAATGTCTTTAAGTTCTGAAGTAGCATACAATGCGAGATAAAATTAGTTTCAGGAAATAAGATTAACCCTTTAAGTACCTCTGTGACAGAAACGTCCCGTGTAACCATGGATACACGTGCAGTGATTGACGCCCACACAACGGCCCCCGTGCAAGCATACTCGGCGACAGTGCGCTGTGAGGAAAGCTGGTATTGTTAGTGAATGCTGTCACGAAATCATTTGTCTGACATATATCGTTCAATAGAACGTTAATACAACCGTGCGATTACCACGACGCTATTTCAAACGAATACAACAAGTATTGGTACATTTGTTTTCAATTCCTGTCAAATATTAAGTCAGAGATGCATCTGTTATACAGATAATTATTTTTTTAACTACGAACTAAAATAGTGCTTGTATTTAATAGATGGTCATAAAACTTCGTGTCTTTTCTGTCAATTATCTTTGAATATCTATGTTGATGGTATATTTCTTTTAATGTTTAAATTGTTAGGACGATAATGTGATTTTGTACGATTTGTGGAATGCTAGTCGACATAAGCATGCATAACACTGATGAAATGAAGCTGATGATGGCAACTGTTCTGTGAATATTAAATTAATAGTGAAAGGTGAAATGTTAAGCAAGCTTTGTGTGAGCACAGGTTACTCGTATCTTACATGTACTCCTAAAAATGACATTAGACAATATCAAACTAATAAAATAGACGATATTTAATACAAGAAGTTGTGTCGGTACGACATACAATACTTACTAAAGTAACATGTAGTGACTTAAAATGTGTAACAAGACCCGTTAACAGAAGTATTACAGATACAAACAAAACCCCATGCATGCATTTTTTATTCTTACCGAACTGGCATCTACGACCGTGAAACCCGTGGGGACATTTACATCGATTATTTACGGAACAGACCCCACCATTTTGACATTGGAAACGGCATACGGCTGTGGAATAGAATACAAGGTTAACTAATTAGTATATACGCAGGTAACATATTTTCCTATCTCCATATGCTACATAAATATCTACTTGCATAAAACCTAAATATTTATCTTTTTCAAACTGCAAAAATTAAATCGAGGAAAAAAAAAACTTAAACCGCTGTTTTTGCCATTCAGTGGCAGATTATCACGTTCGCATATTTACGGCGCTTCATTTGTTATATTCATTATGATATATACAGTAGTTAAATGGATAAGTGTTTTCTTAGCAATGTAGCAAAAATTGTACTTTACTCTTCTGCACATGACATGAATTACCTTTTGCATATCAAACAAAACCCGTGGCATTTACTGAAGCATCATATGGATGACAATTGTAGAAGAGTAAAAGCAGTTGTCAAGACCGTATCAAACTATATTAATAATATAAAGCAAGGCAGAAAATCTTAAATTGACATTATTTTCTTTCGAAAGAGAGTTTGACTGTTCTAGTGTTATTGCTTTTGTTTTTATTTTCGTAACGTCCGTTATCATCTTTACTGTCCCAATTGATCGTCAAACATCAAACATACAATGCAATACTTATTAATCAACTACTTGATTTAACGTTAATTTTCCGAGTCATGTTGTGCAAATTGTGTTCCCAATAGTTGCAACCACGAAGTTCTACCTTTAGTTCGAACGATAAAAAATCATACCTTTCTCACATCGAGGGCCTCCGTGTCGAGCTCGACATCTGCACACTCCAGGTCTTACACACTTTCCACCATTTTGACACATCGGATTACATTTGGGTTTTGCACATACTTTGCCCTTGTAGTTCGGAGTACATCGGCACTGATTGCCCGGAAGGCATGCACCGCCATTCTGACATGGTGGATTACATACGGCTTCAAACAAAGAAAACACTTCAATTCTACAAATGTTGATTACAACGTGATGACAGAGTGTTTACTACATTCGGGGGCAGACATAAAATAGCAGGGTACAAATGTTTAATATCAAGATTATTCGTGACAGCGTTTCAACACCATCTCAATACACTAGAACTGCTAATATGAAATATGATTATAATCAAAACGCATAAACAAGTATCTCGTAAAAAACGTGAAGTTAAATCAAACGATTGTATGAATAATTATATATGATAATATTTTGACAGACAAGATAAATTATAACTATTTTGTCAGTTTATTTCACAAGAGATCTACTTCCGGGTTGCATATTGATAGTTAATAATCGATATCATTTCTTACGTATTTCACATCGATGACCTTCATAGCCGCCGAGACATCTGCATTTATTGTATCTGACACATTGACCGTTATTTCTACAAGCCGGTTTGCAGTATGCTGTAAATATAGTATACACATATACAATCAGAAACAAACTACCCATAGCACAAATCATTATAAAATGAACATTGCTGATTTGCTTTAGTTTTGTTTAAATTACAAAAGTTTCGTGCAACAAGGGCTAAGAATATGAGGGCATTGTATTAATAATTTTCTTAACAAAATGTGTAAATAATCCGCCTAGTAAGGTATATGTTAAACCTGTATTACATCGAAATTAATTCCGAAATAAAAATCTACAATTTTTAAACAAATTGGATTTTTTTTTCGTGTTTTGAACAAAAAAAGAGCGCACTATGAATGAATGAATGGATGTGAAATGAATGAAGAAGTGGCTCAGTTGACACAGTTGTAATGCGTAACTATGACGATAGCATGCAGTTAGGTCTAAAAGGTTTAATAACTAAATACAGGTTCTTTTAGAATTAGATGAACATTTAAGACATTCGATTTTACAGATATGCATATGCTTTTATAGATTCATTAGTATACCAATCACCTTCACTTATTCAAGTACATGCCATGAGAATTAGGTAAAAATCATGAAGGGGACTCTAGATATGGAACATTAAATAAAAATGGAAAAAGATTACAGGAATATCACCTTTAATGCAAATAGTTATCAATGTATCAATGTTCTGAGATGTGGCCAGATTAAATTTATTGAGGCCGACATGATACCTTTATTCCCTATCGAGGTACGTTCCTATTTTCATGATTCAGGAAGCAATGGTATATGGTTGTTTTGAAATTTGTAACAAATCTGAAATCAGTGACCTTATAAGTGAGTACGTGTCTTTCGTTTGATCAAAAAAAAAATCTTCATAAAAGCATGTCATATCTTGAATGGCACGACGCTAGGCTTATGAAGAAATACAAAACAATCTGACAATATTCTGAAAGATGGCCTGACAATGTAACGCCGATGAATGCTGCGCTGTTGAATAAGCTCACCGGAGCTTGTTGTCGGTTTAGCTTAAAATGCACTGCAAACAAGCTTTTTTTACAGCACGTGTTTTATTTAACGTAATGATATTATATCGTGAACATTAATTTTGATATGAAGAATGTACGTCTTCGGTATATCACCAAAACTATGTGACATTCATACAAAGACCAACCGATCCTTTTATTATGTTAAAAATCATGAGAACTTAATACTGTATAACATAAAATAAACAGCAAGAACATAATGGTGTATTATATGATAATGTAGGATACAACAATAACAATTGCTACCAAAGCAGTAACGTTATTGACCATTACATGAATCATTTACGTCAAACACCATAAGGTGGTACGTAAGTCTCAAACACTGTTCAGGGCATTCAACAATTCAGAATCTTAACGTTCAAGTCTACTATTTATCTATTATTTGCACCTGGTGACATCTACACGTTCAACTCTACTTTTGATCCATTGTTTGTGCCTTGAGTTAATGAATATTTACAAATTCTGCTCCATTTTTATTCTGTTATTTGTACTTGGGGATTAAATTAATACAAACGTTCTACTCTACTTTGTTTAACTATTACTTATACCTGTTTCGCACCTTGGTCCAGTATAGCCCGGTCTACATAGACATTTATTTACACTTTGGCAAAAACCCATATTCTGGCAATGCGGCTTACAAACAGCTGTAAAAAAGTATAATATATACGCAAAATAAAAGTACACAGTGTTTTTGTTAATAGTTAGTTTAAACCGAATGCTGTTATCAATAAAGAAAATTCCATGTTGCAAATGATAATGCTTGAATTAATATTGGTGTGTTCATTGCTTAAGGATGCAGGAGTATATCGATATTAATTTATTTTCAAGAAAGCTGATTCAAAACATTAAAGAGTGATTTTTCACAAGATAGTTACGTTGTGTTTCGTAACATGATACTTGATACAATATATGTGGCGTATTGATATTAAATAATTTTCAGTATATTCTTTCTACAAACAAGGTTTGTTTGTTAGCGTAAGCATGCCGTTGAACCAATGAGATCCCAGTGATCTTGAATGTAGTTAAATCAGTGCAAGCAAGCTGAGAAATATGCCTAACGGTAAAAAAAAAGAATGTTACTCCTTATTACAAGTGTGGTAGAGACCAAAATAACACCATGTAGAGTACAAAAATATCTAATTTAGATAAGCACATTGCTGGCAGGGGAAACCAATATATTTTGGTAGATAAACTGAAGTGTCCGTATCCCTATGTTACTGATTTCGTTATCTATTGTAGAGCGGGTATGGACGCTAGAAATGTATGAAAAAGTACATTTTTAAATCTAATACGCGGACTTTCAATATTACCTAAAAAAATAAGGAAAAAACATTTAAAACTGCATGATGTGATTATTTCAAACTAACAGGCCAAAACAAAATATAAAACTAAATGATAACTTTATTGGAAAGACATTCTTGTTATCAATGTTTTCCCCCAAACATTACTGGCTGTTAATTTTTTTTGCATTCATGTAGCAGTTATAATTGCGTGAACATTTGTATTATGACTGAGAAATATAGAAAATAGTGTGAATTTACTACTTGTGAGGCAAATACATGTATATGACTTACGTCTGTGACATATAAATGAGTATGAATTACGTCTGTGACATATAAATTAGAGTGATTTACGTTTTTGACATATAAATGTATGAGACTTACGTCTGTGACATAAAAATTCGTATAACTTACGTCTATGACTTATAAATGCGTGTAACCTATGTCTGTGACATATAAATGCGTGTAACTTACGTATGTGACATATAAATGTTTGTGATTTACGTCTGTGACATATACATGTGTGTGACTTACGTCTATTATATGTATATGTATGTGAATTACGTCTGTGACATATACATGTGTGTGACTTACGTATGTGACATATAAATGAGTGTTACTTACGTATGTGTCATATAAATGTATGTGACTTACGTCTGTGACATATACATGTGTGTGACTTACGTCTGTGACATATACATGAGTGTTACTTACGTCTGTGACATATAAATTAGAGTGATTTACGTCTTTGACATATACATGTGTGTGACTTACGTCTGTGACATATAAATCCAGTGTAGCCTTCTCGACAGGCACACACTCCAGGGGAGACACATATACGATTCCGGGGGCAGTACTGCTTACAAGCATTTGCTGGCAGGAGAAGGGAAGTAAGGTTGTTATGGCAACAGTTTATATCATATCATATGCAATGGTACCAAGCTAATCCAAAACCACGAAGACTCACGGGAGCAGTTGTTTATTGCATAGGTTGCTTCAAAAATCGTAAACCTGAATTTTCAAAAAAAAAATGCAATTCTTGTTTCAAACAATCAGTTTGAATCTCTTTACAACAAAATTATTTTATTTCCTAAATAGTAATTAAATAAATTATCGCTAACTTAATCGGACTTCGAACATTTGAACCCTGAAGTAATTTTATAACAGACATAAGCTCGAGGTCGTTTTTGTTTTTCTGTTTGAATCATGGCGTGATTATTTACTCCTCGGTACATGTTGTAGTGGCATCAACGTTAAATCTTCATTTAGAACTAAAGTATTATGTTTTGATAAATTTAGCTCATATTTATATACTGTATCTGAAACACAAGTGCTTAAGGATTTACGAGGTACCATGGACACAGAGCACAACACTATAAACCCGAAACCAGCAATAGCTACAGCGGAAAACGGTTTGGAAGAAAAAGTAACCGCACCCAATAAAGGAAAAGAGATACTCGTTGAAAACAAAATGATACATGATATAAATTTAAACAAAAATAAGTCATGTGAAATAAGTTGTCTAGTAATGTATGGGAGTCATACCTGTACATGTTGTACCGTTGCCAAGGTAACCATTTGGACACGCTCCACACCTGTAATACGGATATCGTCTGGTCTCCCGACAGGCCACGAGAGCTGAACACACGTTTCTCTCACACATGTTGGCTCCTATAGTAACAGTAGAAAGAAAAAAGTGGAGTTAAAAGCTGCCGAAATGAATTGACAACAGCGGGACAACACGAGTAGACAGCATTAACGCATACGGGAAATTCAAAGGAAGACGCGTGGCCATCTACTCAGTTCAATTATTTGAAATATACACACAGAAAATATCACACAAATATCACACAATTGAAAAACGTAACCTAATAACAATAGATTATAAACAAAAGGAAAAAATATTATAGCGAAATCGGAGAGGCATTTTAATTTCATCAGTTTCTTCCATTGATACAATTTATCGAATATTATCACCCATGGCACAGTAGTAGCAAAATGTATACCAGTTATGCCATTTGGACCAATGGAAATAATTAATGAAAAATCTAAATGATGCAGTTAAGATCAAGTTGAGCTTACCATCTCCCGCGCTTTTCACCCGACTCAGTTTTGAAAATGTTCATGTTTAATTATGCTAAGAGCCAAATAATTTGGAAGTTATTTTAAAACGTAGGTATGTACTTTGAGCTTTACACCTGCGCCCGTCGCCGAGGTAATTGGTTGGACACTGTCCACATGCGTAGGCATTCTGGGTATTGGCGGGGTCAGACATCGCAAGGTCTGTACATCGTACGCCTGGGAAACATGGGTTGGATTCACATGTCCTGGTACCTTATGGTTAACACAAACAAAATATTATTCCTTGGAAGAAAATACAAATAATTTTAAGTTACCTTGGCAACGTTTAACTACACAGCATTAAGGCTAAATTTTGTTTGACGTACTGTAGTCTGAATGAACAAATACAAAAGACAACAGCAACTAATCACGTATTTTGAAACTGTTGAACAACATTTCGATTAAATCACGTAGGGCATGTAAGCCGTTTTTTTTAATCTTGAATGCAATGTACATGACATCAGTAAACAATAAATGTTTCTTCATTTGTCGCATGCTGCTAAACAAATAGTAAAAGAAATACATTATAAAGTCGCGTCATTTCAATTCAAACGGAGTGACATGTTGCGGTCACCTACACGTGATTCCATTTCCCGTCATGCCCGTTGGACATTGGCCACACCTAAACCCGTCTCCTACGTCAACGCACGTATGTCTATGGTAACAAGGATTACTCCGACAAGCGCTTGCCCGTGATTCACATCGAGCACCTAAACCAAACAGATATGAATTAAGGTAAAGCAAGATATTGTTAAGTCCGTTTTGCTAAACAAACTCGAAAAGAAGGTTCTAAATGTAACAGAATCGTAACAGAAAGGTTTACGAAAACAAAATGCATTTGAATAAAGGAACAAACTGGTACGAAGCAGATAGATAATTTTGGAAAAACTAATTAATGAACCATATATAGTAAATTCATATTGTGAAATACAATTTTCTTTTATATTTTGGGACTTTTTTCATTTTTTTCAATGTATTGGTTCATTATCTGAAACAGCTTTTGTACACTGAATTAAATCAATCAGTGAAGCTTGAATAAAACTTTAGTCCACTTTTTATCTTTTATTTGCGTTCCTCGATATATTTGTGAACGATCTGCCAACTTACCAGTGTAACTAGTGGGACAGTTACATTCGTAGCCATTGGCTGTTCTGTTGTAACTAACGGTACGACTGACACATTCACCGTTGTTCTTACATCCACACTGGTACAATACCACCTAGAGAACAATATATGGATACAGCTGATTACTCATTAATCGCCCTTGAGAGGATGTTATTTCAATATTAACATTAATTATCTATCAGACCTAAATATGCTGAGGCTCAAATGGGCCTCTTAATATCTTCTGAATAAAATTAAGTTGATTTACCTACATGAAGATGATGAATATATAAAGAAGTAATCAGCTAAAGGGGGAAATATATCGGATCACCGCATGAGCAAACACGTAGCTCAAAGTTAAGCTAAAATAAAGATAAATGAACGATAACACATTGAAATCAAAGGAATCTATCATGAACACAATAAAAAATGAGTCATAAGTATGCGCTTATCACAGTGGTCAAAAGAATTGTCGTACTAAAAACAAGTCGTGTACATCATTTACCATTAACACATTCATTTAGTCAAGACTTGACATCAAAAAATAACTAACCCATCTTCGTATCTTTTTTGATCGTTTAGAATGAAAGAACATTAGTGTAGACTTGACATGGTGAATACAGCGTTTGACAGCTTGTGAACTCCACTGTGCTAGTACACAGGGTTCTAACTACTACTTGTGTCGGGACAGTTATTGGGTAAAGTATCAAGTATCCCCTGATTATTTCATTATCTCAGAGATACATGTTTGTACAAAAGGTGAAAATAATATACCGAGGAAGTTTAAACAAGTTTTTACAAAGGTTATATAAATATGTGTTATCATTGACCCAAATACCTGATACTGATCTTTTCTAATCGACGTCTACAGTGTAGTTACAGATATATTCCTGTGTGTCAATGTTATGGATTACGTAACGGAGGTCAACCATATAAACTATATGTAGACGATTTCGTGGTTGAAAACAAACTGTACAAAGTTACATTGCTGTTAAAGGGTAGATAATAGCTATGATAGGTTTTGTCGATCGCTTCCGTGTCAATACAACAAATGCATATTAGCTTTAATAGGGACAAGGTCTACTTGCTTTTTTAAACAACGATATGACATGTTTGCACTAGCTTTCAAATTTCTTATTCACCTGCTTACAAAAGGTTCTTTGATAACCTTTTAAGTCATCTTTCAATGATTAACACAAGCCATGTGCTATTATGAAGACTTACAAGTAGCACTATTGTCCGCTTCCCGTCACATTTATCTGTTATTGACACTCGGAAAACCTCGGAACTTCCATTTCTCCTCAACGACCTCACATTTGATTTCCATTTAAACGTCCCTTGTCGGCTAACGTACGCATCTGATCTATCGACGCTGAAATTCAATGAAGATCCTTCCGGGTCTGAAGCGTTAATACGTGTGAATATGGTGTCACCTTGTATGATAGAGAAAGCGGTCTGTTTTATCCTTACTATTGGGGGACGATTATCTAAAAATAAAAATAGAAAATGTTAATTAATAAACATTCCTATTGTCACTCATGCAAAATTTAAATCGCCCTCTAATATTTGTTTGTTACTTTTATTTTTGAAACGACATTTTTGTTTAAATTAATTCTGCATATACCAGATACAGCTTGATGTTAGAGATGTAATATTCTCGCACCTCAGACAGAGATATCCTACGTCATACCCCATGCTAAATAGTTGTATCTCGTCCGATCTGTCTTGTACCTTTACGTGACATTTCGCGGAATTTTTACACTACGATGCATTCATCCGCGCGTTAACTGCTTGAAATTGACAATTTGCATTATTTGATGTTGTAGATAAAATATAATGAACACTGTGAAATACGGTGTAATCTACGTATGGGCGGACTACTTTTTACGCGGAAGCATTCAAATGTAGATTATGTAGTGAAGTGGTCATTATCATTTGAGACCCATGGCGGGATACTTGTCGTTTTTAGCAAAATTGAATCGTTTTCTTCGAACTAAAAGGTGCAAGAAAAAAATCAATTACCTGTAACTGAGCAAGATCGGGTTATCTCAGTCTCGGGCTACGATTCTGTAACATCCAAACCTTGGCTTACGCCTCGGTTGGGATTTTGTAACAGAATCTTTACCCTCGACCGAGATAACCCGATCTTGCTCAGTTACAGGTAATAGATTTTATTAATATCCACTGTGACGTCAGAAAAAGACAATATGTATGACTGAATGCCATTGTGACGTCACAATGAAGATTATGTACTTAAAGCTAGGTATGATTGCACGACATCGTGACGTCAAGTCCAGGTACTTAAAGCTAGGTATGATTGCACGACATTGTGACATCAAGTTTAGGTATTTTAAGCTAGTTATGACAGCACGACATTGTGACGTCAAGTTTAGGTACTTAAAGCTAGGTATGATTGCACGACAGTGTGACGTCAAGTTTAGGTACTTAAAGCTAAGTATGATTGCACAACATTGTGACGTCAAGTTAAGGTACTTAAAGCTAGGTATGATTGCACGACAGTGTGACGTCAAGTTTAGGTACTTAAAGCTACGTATGATTACACGACGTTGTGACGTCAAGTCTAGGTACTTAAAGCTCGGTATGATTGCACGACATTGTGACGTCAAGTCTAGGTACTTAAAGCTCGGTATGATTGCACGACATTGTGACGTCAAGTCTAGGTACTTAAAGCTAGATATGATTGCACGACATTGTGACGTCAAGTTTAGGTACTTAAAACTAGGTATGATTACACGACATTGTGACGTCAAGTTTAGGTACTTAATGGTAGTATGCTTGCACGACATTGTGACGTGAAGTTTAGGTACTTAAAACTAGGTATGATTGCACGACATTGTGACGTCAAGTTTAAGTACTTAAAGCTAGATATGATTGCACGACATTGTGACGTCAAGTTTAGGTACTTAAAGCTAGGCATGATTGCACGACATTGTGACATCAAGTTTAGGTACTTAAAGCTAGGTATGATTGCACGACATCGTGACATCAAGTTTAGGTACTTACAGCTAGGTATGATTGCACGACATTGTGACATCAAGTTTAGATACTTAAAGCTAGGTATGCTTGCACGACATTGTGACGTCAAGTTTAAGTACTTAAAGCTAGGTATGCTTGCACGACATTGTGACGTCAAGTTTAAGTACTTAAAACTAGGTATGATTGCACGACATTGTGACATCAAGTTTAGATACTTAAAGCTAGGTATGCTTGCACGACGTTGTGACGTCAAATTTAGGTACTTAAAGCTAGGTATGATTACACGACATGGTGACGTCAAGTCTAGGTACTTAACGCTAGATATGATTGCACGACATCGTGACGTCAAGTTTAGGTACTTAAAGCTAGGAATGATTGCACGACATTGTGACGCCATGAAGATTTGGGTCTGAGTTGCAGGGATATCTGAACTAAATCACGCAGCATAAACGTGATAAGTACTTAAAACTAGGTATGATTGCACGACATTGTGACGTGAAGTTTAGTTACTTAAAACTAGGTATGATTGCACGACATTGTGACGTCAAGTTAAGGTACTTAAAACTAGGTATGATTGCACGACATCGTGACGTCAAGTTTAAGTACTTAAAACTAGGTATGATTGCACGACATCGTGAAATCAAGTTTAGGTTCTTAAAGCTAAGTATGATTGCACAACATTGTGACGTCAAGTTTAGGTACTTAAAACTAGGTATGATTGCACGACATCGTGACGTCAAGTTTAGGTACTTAAACTTAATGGTAGTATGCTTGCACGACATTGTGACGTGAAGTTTAGGTACTTAAAGCTAGGTATGCTTGCACGACATTGTGACGTCAAGTTTAGGTACTTTAAGCTAGGTATGATTACACGACATTGTGACGGCAAGTCTAGGTACTTAAAGCTAGGTATGATTGCACGACATTGTTACGTCAAGTTTAGGTACTTAAAGCTAGGTATGATTACACGACATTGTGACGGCAAGTCTAGGTACTTAAAGCTAGGTATGATTGCACGACATTGTTACGTCAAGTTTAGGTACTTAAAGCTAGGTATGATTGCACGACATCGTTACGTCAAGTTTAGGTACTTAAAGCTAGGTATGCTTGCACGACATTGTGACGTCAAGTTTAGGTACTTAATGGTAGTATGCTTGCACGACATTGTGACGGGAAGTTTAGGTACTTAAAACTAGGTATGATTACACGACATTGTGACGTCAAGTCTAGGTACTTAAAGCTAGGTATGATTGCACGACATCGTTACGTCAAGTTTAGGTACTTAAAGCTAGGTATGATCGCACGACATTGTGACGTCAAGTTTAGGTACTTTAAGCTAGGTATGATTACACGACATTGTGACGTCAAGTTTAGGAACTTAAAGCTAGGTATGATTGCAAGACATTGTGACGCCATGAAGATTTGGTTCTGAGTTGCAGCGATATCTGAACTAAATCACGCAGCATAAACGTGATAAGTACTTAAAACTAGGTATGATTGCACGACATCGTGACATCAAGTTGAAGTACTTAAAACTGGGTATGATTGCACGACATTGTGACGTCAAGTCTAGGTACTTAAAGCTAGGTATGATTGCACGACATCGTTACGTCAAGTTTAGGTACTTAAAGCTAGGTATGCTTGCACGACATTGTGACGTCAAGTTTAAGTACTTAAAACTAGGTATGATTGCACGACATTGTGACATCAAGTTTAGATACTTAAAGCTAGGTATGATTACACGACATTGTGACGTCAAGTTTAGGAACTTAAAGCTAGGTATGATTGCAAGACATTGTGACGCCATGAAGATTTGGTTCTGAGTTGCAGCGATATCTGAACTAAATCACGCAGCATAAACGTGATAAGTACTTAAAACTAGGTATGATTGCACGACATCGTGACATCAAGTTTAGGTACTTAAAGCTAGGTATGATCGCACGACATCGTGAAATCAAGTTTAGGTACTTAAAGCTAAGTATGATTGCACAACATTGTGACGTCAAGTTAAGGTACTTAAAACTAGGTATGATTGCACGATATCGTGACATCAAGTTTAAGTACTTAAAACTAGGTATGCTTGCACGACATCGTGAAATCAAGTTTAGGTACTTAAAGCTAAGTATGATTGCACGACATTGTGACGTGAAGTTTAGGTACTTAAAACTAGGTATGATTACACGACATTGTGACGTCAAGTTTAGGAACTTAAAGCTAGGTATGATTGCACGACATCGTTACGTCAAGTTTAGGTACTTAAAGCTAGGTATGCTTGCACGACATTGTGACGTCAAGTTTAGATACTTAAAGCTAGGTATGATTGCACGACATTGTGACGCCATGAAGATTTGGGTCTGAGTTGCAGGGATATCTGAACTAAATCACGCAGCATAAACGTGATAAGTACTTAAAACTAGGTATGATTGCACGACATTGTGACGTCAAGTTTAGGTACTTAAAGCTAGGTATGCTTGCACGACATTGTGATGTCAAGTTTAAGTACTTAAAGCTAGGTATGATTGCACGACATTGTGACGTCAAGTTTAGGTACTTAAAGCTAGGTATGATTGCACGACATTGTGACGCCATGAAGATTTGGTTCTGAGTTGCAGGGATATCTGAACTAAATCACGCAGCATAAACGTGATAGCTTATATTGTAACCATTTACTAGTATGAAGACTTGCCTTCTCGTGGTGACCATGTCCTCATACTCCGTCCGGGTAAACACTTCTGACAATGGTTGTTTGGATTCGTGTAACCTCTGATATAACATGTCCTATTGATATAACACGTGTTGTTCTGTAGATAGATAAAGTCATAATAACAGGTACAATGTAATGCCATTAACAGCAATTCGCAAATATCATACCGTGTTTCAAATTATCTTTCTCATTTAAATATTTTCCACGAACTTTGACTCTTTTTCTTCCCCGATACATCTCTTTAAGATGTTTACTACAAATTTTGACCCCTATTGTACCTTGACCGACCTTTTACCAACTTTAACCTATATGTTTGGTTCGGTTAATGTACCAATACCACGTGACCACTTTTATTTTGAACCTGTGCTTTCACTCTTCGATTATTCATTCCAAAATTTTGTAATTTACACAATCTCTTATAACAAATTGTCTTGGGTTTCATCCTTTATAATACCATAACACTAATATGAAAAAAAGGCAATATAATATATATGTATGTTTTGTTCCAATAAAAGCGTACCAAGAAGCTGCAGCCCGTTTCCGTTGAGCAGGTCTGACAAACACTGTCTACAGAGGATACCATACGGGATAACATGTTCCCGTCGGAGTCAAATACCTACAACAGAAGGCAAGCTTATTAATGTGTGTGATTGGTGTGATCTAAAAGTGCGTGGCACAACCTTGGCACCAACCCAATGGACATACAATGCTGACAAATGATGTGTGATTGGTGTGATCTTAAAGTGCGTTTCTCACCCTTGCCACCAACCCAATGGACATACAATGCTGAAAAATGATGTGTGATTGGTGTGATCAAAAAGTGCGTGGCACACCCTTGACACCAACCCAATGGACATACAATGCTGAAAAATGATGTGTGATTGGAGTGATCTTAAAGTGCGTGGCACACCCTTGACACCAACCCAATGGAAATACAATGCTGACAAATGATGTGTTTTTACGGTTCCCCATCTTCTAACTTTTCATTTGGCTTCATGAACGGTAAAAATATTCCAGAAAATCATTTGTAGTGTTTTGTGATGATTAACGCCGTTTAAACCCAGAACAATTAAGTGCTTTTAAGCATCTGTTACATTATGATTAACAGAACAATAAAGGAATGAGGTTAAGAATATTTATTTAAGAAAAAGATAAATAACTGAAAGAAAATTAATTGTTTATGAACTTTTCTATCTAGCGACTTTACCAAATGTTCTATCTGTAACCCTTAACAATCATAACGTTTAAGCCTAAGCACAGTAGTTATGGTTCAAGTGGCATTGTTCTATTCACAATGGAATGACGGACACTTAATGTCTTCATACAGGTTGTTAGAAATAATAACATGGGCATTTTGATGAAGGACGACGTTCAATCTGGCCATTGGTAATGAAAAGATTAATGGTTCCATTTTAAAAACTTATCGATGCAAAAACATAAATAATGATGTTCAACCTCGCCGAATATTAACCAAGGTTTTTGTTGGAAGGACATATTAATAGTCCAGGGGAAAACCGTTTTCTACTTTATATGGTCTTCTGATATTAGTACAAGAAACATGAATATCGATAATAGTACGACAGCTTTCATCTAACATTATGTTTGTTAAGATATTATAACCTTCATATCTGCTTGACTATCAATCAGAAAATATGTATCACGTGTATTTCGCTCTTAAATAGAGAATTCCGAACGGATTCTATTTGTGAAAAATGTTAAATAGCCCTGGGACAGCGGAGGTTACACAAGACACAGAGAGGAGGTTACACAAGACACAGAGAAGAGGTTACACAAGACACAGAGAGGAGGTTACACAAGACACATAGAGGAGGTTACACAAGGCACAGAGAGGAGATTACACAAGACACAGAGAGGAGGTTACACAGGACACAGAGAGGAGGTTACACAAGACACAGAGATGGGGTTAGACAAGACACAGAGAGGGGATTACACAAGACACAGAGAGGAGGTTACACAAGACACAGAGAGGAGGTTACACAGGACACAGAGGAGAGGAGGTTACACAAGACACAGAGAGGAGGTTACCCAAGACACAGAGGAGAGGAGGTAACACAAGACAGAGAGAAGAGGTTACACAAGACACACAGAGAGGAGGTTACACAAGAGGCAGGGAGGCGGCTACACAAGACACAGAGAGGAGGTGACACAAGACACAGAGAGGAGGTGACACAAGACACAGAGAGGAGGCTACACAAGACACAGAGAGGAGATTAGACAAGACACAGGGAGGAGGTTACACAAGACAGAGGAGAGGAGGTTACACAAGCCACAGAGAGGAGGTTATACAAAACACAGAGAGGAGGTTACACAGGACACAGAGAGGAGGTTACACAAGGCACAGAGAGGAGGTTACACAAGACACAGAGAGGAGGTTACACAAGACACAGAGAAGGAGTTTACACAAGACACAGAGAGAAGGAGGTTACACAAGACACAGAGAGAAGGAGGTTACACAAGACACAGAGAGAAGGAGGTTACACAAGACACAGAGAGGAGGTTACACAAGGCACAGAGAGGAGGTTACACAAGACACATAGAGGAGGTTACACAAGACACAGAGAGGAGGTTACACAAGACACAGAGAGGAGGTTACACAAGACAGAGAGAAGAGGTTACACAAGACACAGAGAGGAGGTTGGACAAGACACAGAGAGAAGGTTACGCAAGGCACAAAGAGGAGGTTATACAAGACACAGAGAGGAGGTTACACAAGACAGAGGAGAGGAGGTTACACAAGACACAGAGAGGAAATTACACAAGACACAGAAAGGAGATTACACAAAACACAGAGAGGAGGTTACACAAGACACAGAGAGGAGGTTACACAAGACAAAGAGAGGAAATTACACAAGACACAGAGAGCAATGCCCGTCATGTTACCATTTGTTAAAGTCACCGTCGTTGTAATGGTATTTGCTGAACATTTTTTTCGAATCTTCATTATCAACTTACTTGCAAAATTCAAATGAGACAATATTAACGAAATGTGAACATACACCATTAATATCTGAGTTGATCTACTGTCCAAGCATATACCGTTCCGCCTTTGAATCAGGACGAAACCCATGTGTATTATAAGCAGATACTACCTTAATAGAATACAGCACAATGAGGGGATATAGGGTAAACACTGAATAATACCGTATTGTATGACTTTGCTTTATAAGTACATTTGTAAGGCCTAAATGCTGCTAACTTATCTTGAAAACACACAGTGAAAACAAATATTGACCATGAGGTTTGTTTGAAAGACAAATACATGTCAAGGGATAAACCATTAGCTACATTGTACCCTCTGTGGTCTTCCGATATAAGTACAAGAAACATTCATATCGATTATTTACTTGTTTTTGTTGGGTCAGATATTATAACTTTCAAAACTGTTTCTTTTTTATTCTAATATACCACCATTTTATTCTAATATATTTTGACATCCTGTTTACTTACATGATCATTGTGAAGCCCTGCCCTATGAACACGTGCAGACATAAAATCGATCCGAAGCTGAGAGACTTTGTTGACTATCAATCAGATAATATGTACTAAATATTTCACACTTAAATAGTTGATCCTGAGCAACTTCCAATCAACAAAACATAAGCAAAATATACAAAACTGAGTGTTCCTTTTATTAAAACGCCAGGGAAATTACCATAGAGACAACGTTCACTTGTTTTCATTGGCGTTGTTTTAGTAGTATGAGTGTTATATTATTATTTTGTCGTCACTAGGGGGATATCACTTGTTACGCAGCAAAAAAAGATTCGTAACGGGACAAAATACTCTATTTTTGCACCAGATATAGGTTACTGAAAAGATCACTTCTGTTGAGGACAACTGTACAAAAGAAGCAGAAAGACAATAACGAGGTCATACCAAGAAGGACAAAACTAAGCAAAATAGGAAAAAATGGAAATATGTATGTGGAGACCTTTGAAAAAATAAAAGAATGAGACCATGTGTTTCAGAAGGGCGAGCGCCTTTGCTTTACCGATTACACCTGCCATGAAAAACTAGGTCAACATCAAGTAACGTGGTGTCCCTACATCGAGCTCAGGTAGCACACTAATAAGTATAAGGTTCCGGTGGTAAAAATCTGATAAGCTCAAAGAGTCAATAAAGTTAAATTTCAAAATGCCACTTTTTGAAAAATGAAATCAAGTTGATAAATATTTATTTTATTTTATTTACTTAGGTATATCATATTTTGATCCCTATACATGAAAAATGTCAGATATTGTTTCTATTTCAATGTTTTTTAAAAAATTGCATTTAGAAATTTCGTGTTAGCTAGACGCTATGTTACGCTTTGATAAGTGGACCAAGGACTAGGTTACACTGTTACGTTTGTTTGACTAGTTCCTTTTTAGTTCTCAGAAAAAGACTAAGAACATTTACACTAAAACAGCCCACATTGGCCGTATTTTGCAGCAGTTCCTTTTATTATCACAAAAAACGCCAACCCTGCAGCACCGGTTATATATGTATCCTTGTCGTGTTTAAGGTTTCACAGGAGATTGTGCATGGTATAAAAGATATAAGGCACATGTTGAAAAGTAGACCCCGATAACATAACGCAGCTGGCCTGGTCTTGCGACATATCATGACTTAAATCCACATAGGCCTGGTATTCTGACATAAGCTCACACAGGGTAGTTTGTTTCGCGACATACACTTGTATGAGTCTAACGTACTGTTCGACATACTTACATAGGCCTGATATGTTGTGAAGTCTGTCCTCCGCGACTGCTGGGGAAGTAAGCAGTCCACTGCCTCTATGTTTATATACCTCATGATTGCCCGTTCCATGTTACTACTGGGCACCCACACACCGTTCTTAAACTGTAAACAAAATTACGTTTGAACAACCTGTATTCGTGACAACATTACTATGTTATGAAACTCAATCTTTCTCCAAACTAATCTTAAGGCTTAAAAGTAAAACTGTAATAACTAAGAAAATATAACACGACTTTGTTTTCGGCTTTTGCAAGACACAGGTTATTAACCAATAATCGCTTCATCTATTTGCAGAATTTTACTTCACGGAAATGTTGTTGCCATGAATATCCTCAGACCTGTATCTTTCGGACGGCACAGCCTCCACTGAAGTTTTTCAGAGGTCGCCTCAGGTACATACGGACGCTGCCACATCCGTCTGTTCGTCTGTCGCATGATGTGAACGGTATCCGGATGACCGGGCGTGGTGTTGTGGCAAGTGTTGTTGTTGTCAGCTCGGTAGTAGTTATAGAAGGTGTAGAAGTTGGAGTTGATGTGGATGTTTTAGTGGTAGCGGTAGATGTTGGAGTAGTTGTTGTGGTTGGAGTGGAGGTTGTAGTTGTTCTTGGAGAAGTCGTTGTGGTGGTTGGAATTGGAGTTGTTGGAATGGTAGTTGTTGTAGTCAGAGTGGTAGTTGTTGTAGTTGTTGGGGTGGTAGTTGTAGTTGTTGGGGTGGTAGTTGTTGTGGTTGGAGTGGTAGTTGTTGGCGTTGTAGTTGGAGTGGTAATTGTTGTTGTTGTTGGAGTTGTAGTTGAAGGTGTTGTAGTTGTGGTCGGAGTGGTAGTTGTAGTTGTAGGTGTTGTAGTTGTGGTTGTAGGTGTTGTAGTTGTGGTTGTAGGTGTTGTAGTTGTGGTTGGAGTGGTAGTTGTAGTTGTGGTTAGAGTGGTAGTTGTAGTTGTTGGAGTGGTAGTTGTAGTTGTTGGTGTGGTAGTTGTAGTTGTTGGAGTGGTAGTTGTTGGAATGGTAGTTGTAGTTGTTGGAGTGGTAGTTGTAGTTGTCGGAGTGGTAGTTGTAGTTGTCGGAGTGGTAGTTGTTGTAGTCGGAGTGGTAGTTGTTGGAGTGGTAGTTGTTGTAGTTTGAGTGGTCGTTGTGGTTGGAGTGGTAGTTGTAGGTGTTGTTGTTGTGGTTGGAGTGGTAGTTGTAGTTGTTGGAGTGGTAGTTGTTGTGGTTGGAGTGGTAGTTGTTGTAGTTGGAGTGGGAGTTGTTGGTATGGCAGTTGTCGTAGTTGGAGTTGTAGTTGTCGTGGTTGGTATGGTAGTTGTTGTAGTTGGAGTGGTAGTTGTTGTGGTTGGAGGGGTAGTTGTTGTAGTTGGAGTGGTAGTTATCGGTGTGGTAGTTGTTGGGATGGTAGTTGTTGTAGTTGGAGTGGTAGTTGTTGGTATGGCAGTTGTCGTAGTTGGAGTTGTAGTTGTTGTGGTTGGTATGGTAGTTGTTGTAGTTGGAGTGGTAGTTGTAGTAGTCGTTGATACTGAAATAAACACTGGAATTAAAGAAGCTATTCCATTGTGGATAGGAATAACAATTTTCCTTTATGTTTATTATAGAACTGCAGAATATACCAGTGATAACATACAGTATTCCCGATCCATGTGGATCCAAGTAGAATCAGGTGATTTTTTAACAAAACAGGAAAAAATTGAGATGCTTAATTTTACACACCTTTCAAAGGTTTCGTTCTGTTTGGCCTTAATATGAACAAAACATAACGAAACAAATAAATATTTGTATTGTTTGATAAATAATTAGAAATAAATTTTCAAATGCAGTGAACCGAATTCAGTATAAACCCGTAAGTAATTAACGATTACCTGACGTTTGAAGACACTCCACTCCTTGGTAGCCATAATAACATATACATCCGCCATCACTACAGAAACCGTTTTTGTAACAATTACCCGGACAACGTGTCACATTGATAAAACTATCACGTGACATGTTCGTTTCCATATCAACCGGTTTTGAGACCAGAGTAGATTCACATATACTTTCTGTAAGTCTTAAGATATTTGGCTTCCAGGAGGATTCCTGTTGACCCATTGCCATTGATATGCACAGTTCTATAATAAACTGCATTTTTTCGTTGATGAAATCTGTACATGCTTCTGCTATATTCGATGCAAATACGAATTCGCCACATCTTTCACTTGCGCTTTCTTCGTTTATTATTTCTGTGGTCTCACTAATATCAGTGACATCTTTGTCACCAGCAAATCTGTAATCTGGTGGTTCAATAATTTTATTCCACAAATCATATGTAACATCCTTGAATCTTATAAACGGATGTGACGTCAAAAATGGTTTAACTTCCGGACATGGATTACCCACGGTTGCCAAGGAACAGTCACACATATTATCAAATTGGTTGTTTTCAGCTGGCATCGGGGATCGGTCGAAATAACTTCGTCCAGGAGCAAATCTAGATAAATAAAAGGAAATTGACATGTATGTGGCCTATTGTTGTCCTTCAATACATATTCTAGGCATGAAATCTACATCATCACAGACCCCGTCATTTTTAGAGGGCTTACAAAATCGTCGTTTCATGTCAACAATTATAGTTTTCCTCCAACTAATGCAGCATAAATAGTGAATATAGTTCGAAAATAAAAAATGAAAACAAAATCACAAACTCCGAATATAAAATATACCTCCATGAATTGGTACCAGATGGGGGCGCTGGCAGTCTGTTTACTTCCGGCCCGGTTGATGATAAGTCAACCGATGTGATTGGTCCACATAGTCCTTCCACTTTTCCCGTATAGTAACCGGAAACGTGAACGGCGACGCCCATTTGTCCGGAATGTATGTCCACTCGCAGGCGAGCCTCTGAACTCAGTAAAATCTAGATAAAAAATACGTATAGAGTAACGATAAAATACCTTAGAGTTCAACAAGCCCCTAAAATGATATAGTCACCTCATCTTTTAACACCCTGGCAAGACTTATTTGAAAATGCCAATTAACCATCGAAAATCGTATATGCAGTTTGGATATATTGAACTTGTATTTAAATCATTTAAATGAAATGTAGCAAAAAAGGCTTAATAAAAAAAACGGTAGTTCATCGGCATTATGATATGTCATTCTCTCTTGAGAGCCAACTAACTGCATGCAACGTAATAGCATGTTATCTGAACTTTATTTGTATAAACATCGTAGCTAGGTAATGGAGTGCTTAGTTTCTCTTTTACAAGATGTTGAAAACCACGCCGAAGTTGGCGTTAACGTTGTAGCTACAATTTATTATAGCACGGTTTACATGAATAAACTTTTCTTTGCTTGTCTTTTTGCATTGGCTTAACGCATTTTTAAATATGTGTTACATTCACTTAATATATCAAGTGATTCTTCGCATAACGTACGTGAATAAGTCGATTGTTTCTTCCCTCCAAAACCTTCATATTGGAAACGATGGGCCCACTGCCGCCATAGGACAGTAACCGGAAGTCTACTTCATCATCGTCATTATCATTTCCGGTATTTTGCCGACACATGTCAATGACGACAACATTGTCTCTATATCTCGCTACCAGGCCGCATATACACAGACCGCTCTCACCAAAACAATGTCGAACTCTCGTATGTATCTGGGGGAAAAACAAGAGAGAATACAGAAGTGTTACAAAACTATAATTCGAAAACAAAATGTATAAAACAAGGGCAAAATAGAAACAAGGGAATATGTACATGGCGAGTCTTGAATAAAGTACAGGGGAAATTAGACAAGTGGTTCCCGAAGGGTAAGCGTCTTCTGCTTCTACGTCAATGCCACGTCCTCACATCGAGAATTAAGATGTCATCGAAGATTCCTGCATGATCAATATTTATTTATCTACTGTCCTCCTATTAATACAACTCGGTTGTCAACTTTATAACGACAGACGTTTTAGTTCAAAGATAATGAATTTTTATTCGTTTCTTATAAGAAAGAAGTTACACGAAACTTAATGCGTTGTAATTTAGTCGCCAAGCAATTTCAACCAATCAGAGGTTAGAATAACAAGTACCGCGTCAAACTTTCCCGTATAAAACGTCATCATTTTTGTGTTATATTCTTAAAACTGAAATAACTGATGTAATGATAGGTTGTTTAAATGAAAGGACGTTAGTGCAAAGAGCTACCACTGGCAGCAAACCCAAGGAAAACATGTCTAAAGCGGTAATTAACTTTTTTATTTTCTTTGTCGTAGTGTCAATATTAATTAATACAGTGTATGATAAATAAAACATGTTGCTTATATTAAATCTACACATCCATGTTATGGAATGCTTACTGAAAACTTAATATGATATAATATATATAATGATTATCGTTCTGATTAAGTGTCATCCTGACACCTGTCAGTAGAAATGCTTGTTATATGTCAATCAATGTTATTTTCCATTGATACTAAACTTAGTCTAAACAAATCTTTGTTTTATATTAAAAAAATGGACACCTGTTACATTGTGTATAACAACTTATATCATACTTACCTCTATATTCTTGTCAAAACTTTGAAATAAAATGTAGGTACCTCGCCGCCTTATTCGCTCTTTTCTACAATGAGGAGATAGAAAAAGTAACTTATTATATCATATTTAATAAATACAAACAGGATATCAAAATAAAGGTTATGGAATAAAACCCATGCATAAAGATTTTTTTATAATAAATTAGTATGAAGCAATTAAGTCTACTTGTGTTTTCCAATTATCATACTTACAAAGCCAAATAGTATAAATACAAGGTTCTTTCTAATGGATAAGACTTATTTTATTTTTTTATTTAGTGCGAAACAAATAGAAATGTATGCATGTGGTTCTTACCGTGAACTGAATGTTAAAATTTGGACTCCTGACACAGCAAAGCACGTAGCCGACGGAAGATCATACACCGTTATCTACAATGAAAATAGGTCCAAAAGACAATTCCATAGTTTTCCAATAAAAACTTAAATCAAACAAAAATTTAGACATTCCCAAATGAATTAGCTACTTTTTGGCAATGATAGAGTGATTTTGTCTAGAAAAAAATCTTTGTAAATCTTTTTTAAAACTTATATGTGCAATGCTAAAACAAAAGATCTTGTCAAATCAGATGGCGGCATCTATATTGTAAATGATGCATAAACAAATATAATCACCTGTCAGTAAATATTTTTTTACCTGTTGTAGTATGTCTGAACTTAAAAGAAAAATATTTGGTTGATTGGCCATCATAATTCATACGTGCACTGCACATTACTATATTTAAGATATTTTTATTGTGTTATATATATATAGGTATAGTGGTCGGTTAGAAAAATTGGGTTAACTTGGCGACGATTTTATAAAATCTGATCGACTTACATAGGTCTTTGACAGAGTGCCCTCCCATAGTCTCCCGTCGTGGAAGTAGATGTCGCCACTTATATCGTACTCTTCCGGTTCCAGGTTAAAGAGGTTCCTGGCGACGACCACTTGTAGTTGATCCAGTGCACAAATATTACGTGGACAACGTTTGATTCTCCGTAGGGCTATCTTACACGTAGAAAATAGTAGCGTCGAGTAGTCACTTCCTGAAATTAGATATATGCCAGTTCATAAAACTGAATAACACATCTCTGTTCGACAAATGTACACTATGATCTTTTCTTGTTATTTTCGTAAATTTAATGTCATTGTTTAATTAGCCACTACTCAAGTAACCTAACTCTTTATATAGATATTATATAATGAAAGTGATGTGAAATTTAATGAACCTGCCTTGGAAAAGAATTAATGGTGATGTAATTAATGTAATTAATTAATGTAATATTAATATAAACTGTATATAAATTGAATTCGAAGAGTAACGCTAATATACTAAATAATTGAAATTGAAGAAAATAACATCACAAAATATGTATTATGGCATTGGGTTTCGGTTTTATTATTGTTTAACCTGTCAACAGCTAAGGTCATTTAAGGTAATGATATAATAACGTTAACTTTATAACCATACAATTGAACTTATGCCTTGTATCATTGATTCAGTGTAACAATGACCGTCATACCTCCGGACGAGCTGAGTCTGAAAATGAGATTGGCCCCACACGAGTTAGCTCGCCTTCGTCTACGTTTGTTACATACGATTGGCAGTCGTGACACCCAGGTAAGGTTCTGTGCCGGGCCGTCCTCTGTCAGCGTCACATTTCCGTCCTGTATCTGTTTGTACAACAAAACTCCATATACCGAAACATCCAATATATATATTTATACGAATTCGTACAGTATACCATTATAAATAAAATACTAGATTGCTAAGCGTCAGCTAAACTAACAGGCAAGCCCCTTTCGTTCATATAACTATAACAAATACTTCGCTAAAACAATAAAGTACTCGATTGGATAATAAAAACAATTTGATAGCATTTTAAAATACTTTAAAATAGTATTTAAAGAATAATAACAAAGGAATATTGTCACTAACTTAGCTTGATAACTAAGCTCGAATAAAATAAAAAACAAATATCACAATAAATACAACCGATGTTAAATGCACATCCAACGTCCTTGTGATGGTTTAACATATAAAAAATGATAGAAGAGTTGTTTAAGTACATTCCTAGTACGTTTATCTCTCTAGGGGTTCATCTGAGAAAAACCTTAGGGATTTCCCCCTGATGAACCTCTAAAGAGGTGGAGGTACTAGGGAAGTACTTAGAAACTATCTAATGTCAATTAGCTCTGCATCAAAACATATAAGGATGTGCTCTATTTGTATTAAGGTTAAAAATAACAGAAAACCAAAGATTGAAAGTGAAACATGTCATTTATTTAATAGAATAAATGACGGTATAAAATATCATCTTTTTACTTATTGTACACACTTGTACAAAGGTTTCTGTTACACAAGATTAAACAAAATAATTAGACCCCATTTATACAAAGATGGGGATCAACTTGCGCCACAATATAATCAGACAGTTTGGACATAACTCCGAAATATCTGGCTATATCCCCATGTCCGTCTAATACAATAAACATGATGTCTTTTCTACTAAAATAACACGTGATTTTCTCTATAATACAAAGACACGCGATGCCCTTTCTAATGCTATCACACATGGTATCATTTTGATACCAAATACACGTACAATATATTAATAACTACGATGTTATTTCTGATACAAAGAAAAATCGTTGTGTTTTTGAAATCTAACAGTCTACATAGGCCCACTGTTAGAATATTGTGACCGGATGGAATACCATGCCATCATTTCCAGGTAATGGCATTTCAGTGAGACAAAACTATAGGTTCTGGATTGTCAAATTATCTATGGTAGCATTAACGAACCTGTGTATTATAGCTACTTGAATGGTTGATATTTTGGTAGGGCTTTTTGCTCAAATCCCTATTTACGTGACAATACTGGATTCAAAATTAAGAGATCTCATTTAACTTGTGTCAGTAATCCTCAAAAATCCAGACGAAATGGAACAGTGTACGACCCACCTCACCCTTACCACTGTAGTGTGCCAATATGTTGGGATTGTCCACATTAGTGTTAGTTTGAAAAAATTAGTAATTTAAACACAGTAATTCATGAAATTAATATAGTTGCTCCTGTTTTCACATATTGGCAGGCTACATACCGCGCCTTTAACAGCGACCTACCGCAAAGCCATATTAAACATATCCATGTAGTAATACTAGTAGTAATCATATCTATATTATAAAGAATAACATCAAAGACATCTGTTTATATGTAATTTGTATACCACTGAATACAGGTTTATTGCAGATATACATAAAACAGGATCCTACCTTAACGCCCAAGAAATACGGGTCACTGGTGATCTCTCCCGAGGGTGTTCCAGATACCGGCTGCACTGCGCATGTTATCTGTGAGATTAGATAATAACGGTCAATGCCCCAATTAGGTTTAATTAAGATGTTGGTGATTGCATGCGCGAGTAGTTTATCAGATGTGAGACTACAGCAAACACGTGCGGACAAATCTTCACTATCTACATTCTGTAGGTGTGGGCGATAAAACTCGCATCAAATTCTCACGGCATTCATTGTGTTACACAGACCAACCTAGCTACAGAGATGAAAAACACGTGCATTGTTAAACAAGAATGTTTTAACCATTCTTAAAATTTTCGGAGAAACAAAAGAGATACATTACGCGGCTGAGGTCACTAGCTTATAGACATAGAATGTAAGCGATTACACCGAGCCAGTAAATATCCTTATATAAGCATACAGCCTTTGTTTTGACCACATACGTTTACTACGTAGACATCGCATTTTCAGGCCAAAACATCGAGTTTTATAATAAACAACATGTATAAAGGCAAATTGCGTTTTCTGATCGTAATGACAACACAAAAATTAAATTGGTTAGTCCAAAAATTACTAAAATTTAGATATACAGTGCTTATTTGATCAAAATGACAAGACAGCTATAAATCTGTTACTGCCAAAACTCTGTTTGATCGTAGTGACATTACATCAATTACATTATATATCTGAAACGAGGCAGTAATTGTCACTAGTTAAGACATGGGGACAGAAAGTGAATGTCACTCATTAGGAGGAGTATTCAAGAATATGTCTGATTTCTACTCCTGAAACTTTCGTCTTAATGTTCCTACTAGTCTCGAAATTCGACAAACGTTTTATTCACCCCTGGATAATGGCATTACGAAATCGAACGTTCACGCTAAGCTATTGGATTGGTTTCAGGTATAACAAAACTGAGAAATCACAAGGCTGATACATGTCCTTTAGAGATTAAAGAGAATGACACCCGACTTCAAAGCCGGTTCAAACCAATATACTTGTTGTTTCCTTCAATTTTTGTCAAAACATGTAAACTTGAGAGTATCTCTTGGAATATATAATAAAAAAGGAAAAGAATAGATGTCCACTTACTGATCTGCCCGCGTACACGTCACTTCCTACTCTAATTGTATCACTGGTTTCCGTTCGGAATGTTTTGCGAATTATCGACGACAATCCTCTCTCTCCTTTATACCAAACGACATGGAATGTAGGTGACGTGGAAGCAATGACGTCATTAGGAATGTGGAAAGAACAGTTTAATGATATGGTACTACCTTTCACCCTGACACGTATAACAGGTTTTGTGATTTCTACGATGTGATCTGAAATGAAACAAAACTAACATTTAATGTTCAGATATATTAAAATATTATAACATTTATATTGAGCATACTTATGTATTATATGAATTCCTTGTCAAGAAGAAACCTTATTAAACATACTGACCATAAGTTTGAGAGAATGCAGAATTATTACAGTAAAATCATCTAAATGTAACATGTGCAGCACAGTATATTCATCAATGAAACACAAAATAATTTCTTGCAGATTCGAAGAAAACGAGATGCATGATCTTGTGAAGCGACTAGTTAAGCTCTCCTAAACAACCGGCTATTCACTTCACGTTTGTTGTCAATGTCACGTGAAAAAAGTTATTTCAAAGACGGCCTTTCATTCTTTTTATTGAAACATGTGTGTAGATGAGCCGTAAAAATGAATAAAACAAACACAACAGCTGAACCCTAATGAAAACCCAGGGAAACACTCCCGAAACGAAGGGGAATCAGCAGATCAATGTTAGCTTCTTCAATGTCCCCTTAGCAAAATATACAGAGGTAAACATGTTAATTCTGCTTCCAAAGGGCCACATTATTCGTAATGTTTGTAATGTCCCTTCAGCATGAAGCACTGATGAAAACAATCGAAACTGCAAGGGGAGGCAGCACATTAGTCGCCTCATACGAGTAATAGATCCTATCACTCGTATGTCACAGTTGCTCTGTGTACACATCATCATCTCAGTGTGGGAGATCTAAACTGGCAAAAACTTACTCAATCATCCTTTTTAAAATTTACTGATTTCAAGTATTTCACGGAAGTTTATCCTTTACATTCAGCTTTATATATGAACTCCTGTAGATAAGATACAAATCTAACAACTTTTTGTACATCTTTACTGATTCCTATAATAGTGTGGGGACGTTTTATACATGTTACGTCACCATAAACCGTAACATACGAAATGACCTTTAAACGGGTCAGGAATGTCCACTGTGCACTGTATCATGTGTTATCTAACTGCAGAAGGCGACGCATGGCCGACCTGATGACATAAATTGCAGCTCCTGTGTTTATTCAGTTGTATAAACACCTCATCAATCACGCAATGTTCTGAAGAGCTATTAAAGATACATCTTTGTTGACCCAAATACTCTTTTGTATTATCAGAAGATATTTGTTAAATGTGGGATGGACATAAATCGATGAACAATTTATGTTCATCTTACTGTGATTATAGTGCTAAAAGTTATTAAATAACCTATGAGGATTAAAGCCAGAATTCGACGTAGTGGATGTTTTGGAAAGGTAATAATGCGGTGACAGTGACTCTTGAACTCCATTTTGAATTTCATTGTGACCCAAAACATGCTTTCTTGTACCTGACTTTGTAAAGTTCTACTGATGCTGTGTCACAATGTTCACGAACTAATGAATGTACCACCTGTAACTCTAATTATCAAACTATGTATGGTTGCTATAATGCACAAAGTCGTTTTTGTTCAGCTGATTTGACTACAGCGGAGATTGATGTCTATTACATTGCTGTAACATTTTAACTTTCTTTCTGTAAAATCATGCTTCGAAGCGATTATTGTTGAAAGTTGTTTGTGTTAGGAACATACATTTATAATTTGGTTAAAGGGGTGAAATTTACTGCAGGAACAAAACAGAAATGGTACCATATGATACGGGCCCGACTTACCCACACAGCTATGTAAATGACGTATATAGATTTGTCCCTGTGAACATGTCGTCATGGGAGCTGGAATCAAAAAATAGTTTGATAAATCTCATATCTTTTTTTTTAATTATTGGACTGATTCATCGATATATGTGGTTATTCAGGTAAATGTGCAAACGATTCATTCGTTGCATTAACTTTTGTTTTATCTCTTTTCCTTGAACCAAGATAATGCACCATTACATAATCAATAAGACTTCTTTAGTTCATCGTTTCTGAACAATCTTCATGTGATGCATTTCTTTAATATTCCTTGATAAAATTTATAGCCAACACCTACACAGGGGATCTAATTTCTTTCTTTTTTTGCAGTAGCGAAAAATCTCTATCAAAATCGATATACGAAGACTTACTATAAGCACAGTAGGCGACTGGACAGCCGTATATCCAGTCTAATTTATATATAAAGAAGTCTCTACAGTTTCTTATTACTACTGGGAAGGAAAAGGCACAGCAGCCCTCATAATTAGCACATCCTTCTCCAGTTGTTGTCTCTCCCGGAAGTGGTAAACCTTTTGCCGGAAGTCGTAACCATACTGGAGCGAAAGTGCCACAGCTTTTACTCTGAAAGAAAATATAGTGGTAATATAATGTAAGAAATTTTGAAAAGTTACTTTTTGCGATTATTCTGAATTTCATTCTCTAATGCCAAACATCAGTATTCCAAATATTTCTACACGTTACTGGGACTATTTTTTGCCTAGAGCTGCAGCAGTTTAAATCAAATTCCAGTCCGGTATAGGATGTTTGATGGCAACTCAAGATCCTTCCGCGTCACTGCAATAATTCTGTATCACTTCGTACTAACTGTCTTTATTGGACTTTCCTCCTACTTTTAACGCTAATGACATCGCAGATCACAGAAACTTCATAGATCGGTGACAAATCGGAGATATTAACGGACGATGATTGACGTGGCAGTCGGTGTATCAGTTATTTCTATCTCAGATCGCAGAGGACTAGGAAAACAAGCTAAATGATACGGGAGTGGTTAAAAAATATCAAAAACACTATACTGTACAAGAGTTCTAGATGTCCACGATACCAAGCCATTTTGAGTCATAAACAAATCTGTTATTTATAAAATAAGATTTAAAAACAAGCTTTTGAATGTTAAAATCAACAGGATTCTGCAATCGACGTTCAAAATTGTTGATGTAGGGGACAGTTTTTATGAAGGCTCTTTTATAAAACACAATTTGAGGAAAATATACCACAGCATCAATACACAACGCTAAAATCCAAATTCAACGGGAGTAAAAAATGACAAACAAAAGAAACTTATGAGTCACTTAAACATTTCACCACTGTTGATCATAATAGACTCATCCAGATCAATGCATGGTCAAGTTAACTAAAGTTACATAGGGGTGAAATTATTAAAGGACATGTCCTGAAGGATACACAATTTCTGTAGCACACAATATATACTCGTCAAGTCCAGGGAAGAATGTAGGTCTCTATCGATGCAAGACTTTAAAAGTAATGTAGGTCACTATCGATGCAAGATTTTAAAATGTATGTAGGTCACTATCGATGCAAGACTTTAAAATGAATGTTTACATCGTAGGAGAAACCCTTACTTTATCTCTGTTTTAATTTATGATCAATATGTTTATTAACCTCTAATGTAAGCCCACGCAACTATTGTAATCTCAGTACATATGTTTTTGTTTATTTGATACAGAACTACTGTTTTTAACAATCATTACGATAATCTACACTGAAGACAATTATAGGGAGTGGATGACAGCACCCCTAAGAAATCATACTCGTAAGGAATCGAATTTCGACCATCTTGTATTTAGAGTCAATACGTCAAAGTATAACAAAACACGTGTGTTCGATTCAGTAGACTTATGATCGAGTTCCAAGCAAAGGGACATGACTCTTACAAAACTATCGTTCTTTCTTACAAATGAATGAATCGTGAAAAATACAAGACATTGGGATGTGGAGAGACTTTTCCAATCTTAAGAATATTGAACTATTTACAAAATAAAAACCCTCTAATAATTTCGATCATTTTTTTGTCTGATTCTAGACACTTTTTTTATACAAGGGGAGATAATCTAGCAATAATATGCAGTTGGAAAATTCTTCATAAAAACTGAGAGGCTGATAACCAATCTAAGATGTGGAATTAATGGCAAATATACAATTATTACCTCAACACATGCGGTGGGGATCTCCGCGTCTGTGCCGTTGAGTAGAAATCTGTACCATCCGGGAGATAACCTGTCATCACACAACTGACCGGGATTATAAATAGGCCGACGTCTGACGTCATCAATTACTACGTACTGACCTTCCACACACGGATCTGTAAAAAAGAAAACGAATCTCATATGTAACTCAATATAATGGGAAATAGAAAGATTGCTTGTTAAGCTATTTATGATCTCGGTGTTACTTCGATCGGATGACACTGATGTTTATAGACAGTGGGTCGCGGAAGTGTGTTGCCATTACGTGAATGCAGTAGGGTAAAGGTATGCTACTCCAGTCTCATGCTGAAAATATAAATACAAATGAGACACCATCTCAGAATTTAAAAAAAAAACATTAATTATACAAAGAATGTATTAAATAAAAATAAAAGAAATACATTATCATAAAAAAACACCAAGAGAATGCCATTTTTTTTAAATAAAACACAAGTTTCATATAAAAAAAAACTGGCATTGCGTCGACCTGTGTGCCGATGGAAAACGACAAAAAGAGGAAAAACATAAAATGTGCATTGAGTCATATCAGATAAAATACCTTATTACCAATAGGGTTAAGTCATGTGATAAAAGCAAAACCACACATATGTGTTGATCTGAGTATTCAATACAGATGTTGTAACACTGTATCACCAGTCCCAGCTGTTCTAGGTCTGAGAGATCTGTTGTGTTCAGGTCCTCACTGGTCAGATGCATTCTAAATTAAGTCTGAGGGTCAACGTGTTCAGATATATTTTATACCATTATTTGTGATATAATAATAAAGAAAATTTTAGTTTTGGTTTGTTTTTATTTTGTTGGACGTCCTATGATCAACTGAAGTCATTTGAGACCATTATTATAGAAATACAATTGCAATATAAATATACAGACGTCCAAGATTTCACATTGCAATTTAATTTCCTTAGTTATACCTATATAATTTAATTTTGCCTATCTCCCCCATAATATTTTGTTTTGGTATATATCGTATATACCAAAACAAAATCCTGGTCATTCCTTAAATACATTGTACACATAAATAGTAACACCCATCATATTCAAATACATGTAAATGTTGCCGAGTATCTAATAACTGTAGAAGCAACGTATTACACGTGAATATTTGTTGCAATTTGTGAAACTCTTTTTACAAGGAGATGATACGCCTTTAACACATGGATTGGTACGAACGTTGTAATGCCAAACACATTATGAGATCAAAGAGTTAGATTAAAAAGAACCCAAAACTCGTTTATTTCCATGCACGATTTATGCTTACACGGTCAAGTTGTGTGGGTGTGTCTCTATTTATTGAACTGTCCAGTGTCCCGGTCACGTACACTGACCTTAGTCCGCGGTCAATAGTTTAGCTGACCGTCTGGCTGGACGTCAAAGACAATATCTCAGATTTACCGTAGTCCGCCGTACACGTATGTGGAGCGGTACGTCCACTTGAAACACGCGATAGGTAACACGTTCAACTTGAAGTTTGCATGTTAGCAAGTAGCATGGCATACCCACATTGAAAAATACAATAAAGAATCCATTTAAAACATTTCTATTAATTTGCAGATAATCGTTGCAGTAAGTAAAACAATGTTAGCTACATATCGTTTATCAATTTTAGTGTTTCCGAAAATCCGAAATCGTTCAAGAAAATGGGTCATTCGAAGTACAAACTACTGTGAGCCGAAACTATTTTTAGTCATTTTGGGCATCCTTGAACCTTTCATAACATATATTTCTTTTTGTGTTGATGCTGTGGTGTATTTGTCTTGCGCGTTGACGCTGTGGTGTATTTGCTGTGGTGTTTTTGTCTTGCGCGTTGACGCTGTGGTGTATTTGTCTTGCGCGTTGACGCTGTGGTGTATTTGTCTTGCGCGTTGACGCTGTGATATTTGGCCTTATATGTTTATGCCATGTTATATTTTACTGTAGTAAATAGTACGAAACTGTTACAATATAATTTTAATTTCAGGACCTATTTATCAATTAAACCTAAAATTACTTTAAAGTAGCGATGTTATCAACATCTTGTCGCGGAAATATGTAAGATCATTTGCTATTTCTGTTAACTATGTATTTAGAAATAAGATAGTTTGAGCCAGGTGCCGGATGCACCAGGTGCTAGATCTCTGTTGCAGACACAGCTGTCTTTGGTAAAACATACTATTTGGTTATCTTTATTTTGAATGAGTTAATATCATGTATATTTGTCATATCTCGATGTGTTTTTCTGTAATAAGATACGTTATATGTAAGATGTATTTGGGCAGTGTGTACCGATGTTAACTCCGTAACACGTCTTGTCTATTTCATACCCACATACCCACACGTTTATTTAATCACAAAAAACTAACACGGCTCCGTGGCTGTACTTCCTTTCATAAATAAAATAACTCAAATAGTTTCTTATTGGACATTAGACGTAACTGTGTCTATTTAAATATTACCTACTGTTTCGTGCTGTTTGTTTTGTAACGATTAAACACATTAACTTAAATCAGTGGTAATCATGACATTATAGAGTTTCTTCTCAATCTTATTTCGTCTATTTGGACAGAATTTGAGTAGGCCGAGATCTGTATACTGAGGACGTATTAATCAGTCTAATACTCTCATTACCACTACTCGTGTGTACGTAACTATTGTACCGGGGCAGATAAAACATTACTGGCAGGGAGGCTGTTTGTTTTACCTCAAAGTGGGCGACCTTGGAAGCAAAGGGGTCCGTTTTGAGTTTTATCGCTCATAACTAGGATAGCATTTTTATTGTGGATCATTACTTTTGCATTTTGTTTAAACCGTCTTAGATTATACATATTTTGATACAATTATAAACGATTGATATTATCAATTGTCTTTATCTTCGTATATCTCATTAACAACAGTCTCCGATCTCAAATGGGTTCCGATCATCTATTCTGCGCCCTTGGATTATTTCATGATATAATCATAGTCCCTGTATGCGTCACCTTGCGGAGAATACGGAGTTGACAAATCATGAAACCACTAACGGCATTCTGTATAAATGTAGTCTAAGAGGAATGTTTTGATTACAGATGGTAGTGAATCGCACGACAAAAGTAACTGTAAATTGTATTAAAAGTACAGGTAATATTGGCTTTCAGCCTTGCGATTGGTTCTTTTTTTCATCATTTGAACTAATCAAATAACTAACCGTATGTCTTCATTTTGTCATGAGAAAATCCACGGATGCAGATCTAGCATTAACAGTGAATATCATTGTCGTCTACAAGTAATGAAATTATCGCACTTATTGTTGGCACTTATGTCGTTAAAATTGTTTCTTTTGAATTTTAAATTCCAAAATTAAAGATAATTCATTGTATTCAATTTCATTTCAGAAATAATTTTTACGAAAATCGATAGTTTTATATCAAAATCGATAGGTTTACATTTAATTTGGACTGAATGGCATTTTTTATTTTACATTGTTCATACTGGAATGAACATTAAAAATGCTGTTCAATACATATATTTACATTTTTATTTAAAGTTACATGTATTATTTATCTAAATATAGTTAAATGTATTCCCTTCTATTTTTGTATGCTGAAATGTTTGTACTGTCAGTGCAAACGGAATTCATGGAACATCATAATCATAACATCAACAGTTTGCTTCTAACGGTGGTTATGTTAGGTAGGAGGGGAAACATCGAAATGACGCAGGTCGAATTGCGCTCATTGACCTATGAACGCATTCTTTTGGTTATGTTGTTAGATGAACTTTTAGTGGAAATGCAAGTTTAATAAGATTAAAACAATAAAATCAAAAGATTATTTATAAATCATCACGTTACAGTAAATTAAAATATTTTGGCTAAAATAAACACGTGTGTTCACAGAAGGATGAGTCATTTCCTATGAGAAATGTATAGGTACGTTCTATAACAGTCTGCGGTGACCGACTTTTAAACAAAAGTTTGGCCAACAGATTTTTTTAAAATAAACTGAGGCCACTTAAGTTTCTTTTTATTATCAATTTGAAAGACAAAGCGGAAACAAAAAAGTGCAGGTCTGCACATTCCACGTGGGCAATTACAACACCTTGGGGAAAGATAAATCCTGAAATAGATTTAACGCTCGTTAGTGTGTCAACCACGATGTATGTACAGGTAGGAGCTAGGTTTTAGTATACAGTGTTTTAATTCCTTCCTGTCTCCAAGTAACGAGGAAGATTATTTGTTCTGTTCAGAAGACGTTTGGAATCGACATACCTAAAACAGACTGTAACCAGAATAACTTTATAGTCTGGGTTTTACTGTTACTGGGACCACAACACCATTATAGTTATTATAGTTTTCCAATACTTCTTTGACGAAAAATGTTCTTTTACTTTCGGCATAGTATTTCATATGTATATTTTTAGAAAGGCTATAGTTTCGCTACATCTTTGTGCTTTATACCTACAAACAATTTTCAAGTGTGAAAACCAATAATGAAATAAAAAGGAGACTGCAGGGAGTCATGCAAAATGAACACCGCTTATTTCACTAAAATGACATTCTCGTGTTCTCCAGCTTAGAGCACGATACAGCGTCGACAACAATAAAGTAAGCGTTGATCATAGATCAATTATCGAGCTTAACTCCATTGCTCGTAACAATCAGCTGTACGCTAAACACACATCTAATGCGAGTGTGGTAGAAGGAACCAGATCTAGAGTACGTGTGTCGTAAGGTAGACAGACTACATACCACTAAGTCTCTCTATAGAATGATCAAGCTGTACCTTCTACAAGATAATCTCCCACTCCAGCTTGAACCTAATGTCAGACATCCAAGACATCAAAACCGTTAAGTTCTCACGTTTTTTCTTCATAAAATGAAAATTGTAGAAGGCGAACTTATCAGATGGGAGAAGCAATGAGCTGTTTTCACGACATTATACAAGTACATATAGTTTCATATATTTGAAAAGACTTCGCCTACATGTAAATGTCCCTTTGATATATGTGCTTGAAACATTAGACGTAATGTTTACATTATATTTTTAACAGGTTTGACGATACTTCTAGACAAGTATTACACACCAGGTCACCAATTATACCGAGAGAAATCACAGATGTTTCCTGAATCAAAACAACA